TGTCTTTCTCACCCTCCTTCTACCCTTCTTCCCTTTCCTCCCGTGACGCAGTCCTTAGCGGCCACTGATCGTTTCCGCTCCCGCAGTTTCGATTCCTGGATTGCCCGTAGTGGTCGCGGGCGCGGCTTGCTTGCTATTGGTCCTGTTGCAAAAGGGTATTTGCTGTGGCTGGTTTTGCTCGCGAAAACTTAGTGCGCGAGGTGGTGCTTCAGGACGCTGAAGTCTACGGCCCTGCATCAGGATTGATTTACCCATGTGCGAAGACTGACCAAAGTAAGACAGCTCACCACAAAGTAAAACACGACGTTTCGCCAGTTCCGCGGCAAGCCATTCCGGCAAAACGAGAGACTTGTCATCCGTTCTGTGATAATCGAGATGCCGTATTGTCCCCCATAAAACAAATGCCCTCGGTCATTCGGAAATAAAGTTAAAAACGTCCTCAAATCGGCGTGAAATTCACCTAGAATGCTTCGAATGACCCAAAAAAGGAACGATTCGGGAGTTCTAGTTCGGAAAATTTGGGGTGTCGATTGTCACGACCGTCTTCGGAAAGTCGCCAATGGCAAATGAAGACAAGCGGAAGCTTTAAACAAGAAAAAAAGTAATTGTCTCCACTTTCACCATGTTTGCCTGCGCGTTTTACGCCCATAGAGCAAAACACGAAAACCGCGTCGCCAGATTCATTTTGTCTCTGTACTTTCAAGTGTTTTGTTGACAACTCTAGTCCCACTAGGAAACAAGTTTCCTTGTCCCCGTGTTTTGCGTTGTATCCGCCAGGTGGGACGGCGGACTCCGACAAACAGGCTGTCTGTCGTATGTTGCTGTTGGTCTAGTGGGACGAAGCTATTAGGAACTCGGCCTGGGGTATGCCAGGGGTGTGTGCGTGTAAGTCACTGGTCGTAAGAACCAGCAGCATTGCATTCGTTGCGCTCAGTGTCCTGGATCTTGTCTGGATCTGCCCGTAATTTATGGGGCCTTTAGAACTTCAGCATTATACATTGATGACATCAGCAGCTGGAAATTGATGGGACCGAAATAAAGATGACAAAACTAGACTGTAGCTGGAGTCTATCACTAGCATGGAGAAGCTATCAATAGCCTGGACTTCAGATTCACACAAGAATTATCCCGTGAGTAACAGGATTTGATGCACAAGTAATTCTGAAGATGGCTTTAATGCTTCCATTCTAATTCCCATGGACCGCCACAGGCTGAAAGGGCAGGTGACATTTCAGGTAACTGAACAGGTCGCATACCTATGTATCAAGTGCAAAAAAAGGAACAGTGAACAAAAAGGCACCAGGACAAGGTCCCCATTTTTTGAAACCAGGTCCTGCATGAGTTTTTATAACGTACTTCATTCTCTGGTTTTTGGCGTTAAAAAGACATATTAGAGCAGTCCTAGCTCACCTCCAGTGCTGATCAAAGTAACACGATGTGAAATAATGATAGGCGTAAGAAACAAGTAGCTTGAAACCAATTCGCGTCCTTTTAATTTTACAAAAATTGACATGCGAAAAATAGCCTAAAACTGGTACAAACCAAAGCAGTCTGTGCAATAAAACGTGAACATAAGGCAGAAAAAGTAAACACTTGCGGGGCGTAAAACCGCGGCAGAAAATCCGTTCATGGCAATCTTGTTCAGCGACAAACAAGTGCTTATTCAGCTGCGAAGCATTGAAGTGGATATAAAGTCTGCATTGCGTTTCAGAGCAAGAAAAACAGCCAATTAATTGAGCAGCGCGATTGACAGCATTGCGGGCGCTACGCGGGCGCGTAGGAAGGCGACAAGGCTTACTTTGACAAGAGCCACACCGGAAAACGTAGACACAATCCACACACAGATGTAATGGTTTTCTATGTCATTTCATTTTTCCTCCTCTTGTTACTTTTGAAACAAACGAAGAGAACGACAGGATACCAGCTTACGACGGCGTGTTTTCAAGAAAATAAGCACGTGCACAGTGGTTATCAAAAAGCTGGTTACTTGGTTCTCGAGTCCCGCCGTCCAGGAGCTGTTTGGTTGTCCGCTTTATCAGTCAGCAGTCACTATTGTGGACGCTGCTGGACATAGCTTAACCAAAGTCAAAGTGACTCAAAGTTCAAACCAGTTCAAGCTATTCAAACTGTCCCAGAAGTTCGCTCGAAGAGAATCGAACCAGCGAAACCATGCAGCGGTGGCAGTGGCCGGGAACGCGGATGGATGAATATCGGCTGTCCCCTTTATAACGGGCGGTAGCTTGCGCCACCTAGCCTTAAATTAATTGAGAAAAAAATATTTTTTTTCTTCTTTCCGTTTTCTTCTGTACTTAATCTTCTTCTCTCTTTACCTCCTTGCAACTATCACCGGGCAGGTAGAGTACTTTCCAGAAAAACCTTTAAAAATTGGTTGAAGAAAAAGGAACCGGCGAACATATATATTAAAATTATTTTATTGTTTTACAAATAAAGTTGCACAAATGTTTCATTATTAACACGGAAGTAACGTTTAAAATATATGTTCTAAAATCATTATTTGAATGTTTTATTTTTAACATTATTTTATTTTTCTACAAATAAAGTTGCATTAACGTTTCATTATTAACACTGAAATAATATTAGTAACAAATGTTCCAAAATCATTATTCTAAAGTTCTATTTTTAACTTTATTTGATAGTTACATATGTGATGTTACATTAACGTTTCAATATTAACACATAAATAACGTTAGTGATAAATGTTCCAAAATCATTATTTGAATGTTCTATTTTTAACGTTATTTCACAGTTACATATGTGGCGTTATATTAACGTTAATAACACAACATATAACATTATATGTTTTAATGAAACGTTATACTAATGTTTCAAATAAGCACTGCGCATTAGTGCTGCAAGCACTCCACGGTTTCAATTACGGAACAGAGCAGCGAGGCCTACTTCATTTGAGTTTGGGTAGAGAATCGCCGAGGTTGGAGCAGTCGGACTGTGGACATCGGCATGCTCGAAACTTCTGCTACCGAGTTTTATGCGCGTGATATGCGGAATAACTCAGTGGGTATGCACTGGCAGATGAAACAACGCGTACTCTACACAACAACGCGTCCACCAAGTCACCGCGGCACCGAAGTATCCGCCGGAGCCCCGTAGTGTAGCAGACGCTCCTGCCGGCGACCAGCGCCGCATGTGCGTCGCCGTCAATATTTTGTGCGGCGGTAATTTGGCCAATCAGAGCACGCCGCTCCGCGGCAGGTCTGGAATGGCCATGTTTTGGAAATACGCGCCCGGCGTGTATTTCCAACGTCCACCACGCAGTAGTGATCACACGAACGCACTGCTTTACGATACTCATCCAGTTCGAAACGACCAGGAGCGCGGAGGAGGTTGAAGCTCAGAAAAACCTTGAAGCGATCTGGCAAACTACTGTCCCACCCCCTTGCACGCCGGTAGTAATCCGATCGAACGCCGCCCGATTGTTCTGGAGTTTATTTTCCGGTACGGAGGAAACGCCAAGCAAAAACCACAGAAGCCGACACAACTCGAGGTCGAGGAGCGTTCCACCATAGCAGTGGTGTATTTCGGACTGCTAAAGAAAACAATACGGGGAAAGAGGGCGTGGTCGAGCTTATTTTAATCTGAAATTATTTATGCACCATGTAAAACTACTGTCGCTCTTCACTGCGTAAAAGATGGCGTAGATGGTCATTGTCGGAAACTCGTTGTCAGAAGGCACTACTAGTCACAAGTTCAAAGCTACGTCTTTTCGACCTAAATATCTGTGCCATTGGTTAAAAAAAAAAATAAACATAACAATAAATACGAGAATGAAAAGCTGGAGAAAAAAAGAACTATCAAGAACCCACCTGAAGTGTTGTATTCTTACATATATATTCAGAGGCTCAGAACTTCGAAACAAGTTTCTCCTACCAAAACGTGTACAGGCTAAAAGAAACACATCACAGAAACGTAAAACAAGAAAGTAATAATAAAATCTTAACAATGGCTTTTCTATTATTTTTTGTAATGACGTGCTTACTTTAACAATATTAGAAATCTTCCCCATGAGTTAATTTATTCAACATGAAAAAAACAATAAATACATTATTTTGTATTCTGTAGATGGCAATGATATGTACTGCCTGTGGTGTTAATTTAAATGTGATACCTCAAACAATTTGGACGAAAGAAGTTACCAAATTTTGGGCATAATTGCCCATAGATTCATGTTTGGACAGTTCTTTGCAACTCATCTTGAATAACAATAATCATAGCTTAAGACGACACTTATCTAGGCTATACATAGATCATTCTTAAAAAGTTTAACATCTCTGCCATAAATAGCTTCGGCTATAACGCGCTTCAATTACAAATATACCTTACTGCTTGAATCCAAATGAAATTGCCCGCCGGTCTTTCTAAGTTCGACAAACTTCGCACTTTTACCTTAAAAGTTCAAGTTCGTCCAAATTTTGACTTTTCAGGATTCTAAAGTTAGAAAATTTTCGGATTCTCTAGATAAATAAGTTTGAAAATTATCAAACTTCTTAGCGTAGGAAGTTCGAAAAGCTTCAAACTTTTTAGTGCAAGAAGGTTGGAAGTTAGAAAATTATGAAATTTTTTAGTCTATCAAGGTTGAAAGTTGGACAAGCATCAAATTTTGCAGCGTAATAAGTTTGAAAAGGATCGAATTTTTTAGCATAATAAGTTCGAAGGTCTAAAAAATCATCGCATTTCTGAACGTGCAAAGTTCGAAAAGCGTCGAACTTCTTAGTTTAACAAGTCTGAAAATTCGACTGCTGTCAAAATTTTCTATATAAAAAGTTCGAAAATTCTAAATCTTTCGAACCTTTAGAACCGCTTGATTCAATCATCGAAACTTCGGTTAGAAAAAAGTTTGCGGCATCCCTAGTAGGAACCGATAACTATCAACAAGCTTCTATCGAACGGGTAACAAAATATATGCATGCACGTCAGTGATATGAATCCTACCAATAAAAGAAGTGCCCCCCCTCCAATAAAGAAGCTTATGCAGAAGTGTAGGTAGCAATGTATATAAAGAATTTTTATTTCTATACATGGATGCTTGCAATGGCGTATGTACATCTACGAATGGAGTGTTTTTTGCGCGCGTTCGATCACGAACTGGATGCCTTGTGGTGCTCTTCCAGGTTCCGGACCACACTGGTCGGAGCGCTCTGCAGGACCTTGCGGGACAGGCGCATCTTCCCGCTCACGGGGTCCCGCCCAAAGTACTTCACAGTGATGTCCTGCCCCTCTTCGAAGCCCAATGCGCTCGGATGGTTCACCTGCAAAGATGACGCACAAATTATAATTAAAAACAAAAAATTGCAGCGACTTTTATTAGTTCTGTAACGCATAAAACACAGTATTTATGGAGCGATCGTTAACATCTGTTTAGAAGACGTTAAACAGTCGTTTCGGGAAGTGAAGACAATGACATACATATTAGGGAGCGATTGGCTCATATTTATGCATTGACGGGTAGCTCAGATCTGCTAAAATAGTGACTAAAATGGGAAAACACTAATTGGGGGGGGCAGGGATGGTGAAGGAAAGTTTTGAGCTCGGGGAACCTCAAGGCCTCTACGAACTCAGTTTGAGAAGAGTTGGATACTGTATTCATGTTTTGTAAGGAGAAACAATAGAATATAAAGACTTCAAGAAGTGATAAAAAGAAATGGACTGCTTTGCAATTTTTCGGTTTAAGACTAATGCCCACCAACAAAACAATCACTACCTTGGTGCAAAAATTTCACTGCATTAAACATTTTTAACCTGCCGCTTCTACGTTAATTTTCTCCAATACCATATTTTATTGCTTTATCACAGTTCTAAATCTCAGTTCTCACCTTTCTTTGGTCTAGCTGGGAGTTGTGAAGGAGTGTCGGAACCATTGTCGGATAGAGCTTCACCATAACCCCCGATTCCCTGCAAATCATACAAAGTTAAAAAAAGCTGTAAATTTTTATATTACTATACTTTTCAGCAATTTCTCAAGTGCATGTAAACCAAGAAGAAAGCATAACAGTTGTAGCATACCTGATCTCTACAATCTTGGCTGTGTAAACGGCACCAAACTCCAAGTTGGGTTCTCGCTATAAAAAAACAGAATGAAACAAACTTGCAATCATCAGGCTCAAAGAAGAAACGTCAGGCCATCAGGCACAAAATAGAAACGTGCGATTATCATTTATGGAGATTGTGGATTATATTCAACCTATCTCTCAGCACGACGGGTATATTTTAAATTTCGTTGAAGTTTTCCTTTGAGAAAACTGTCCCTTTGTCCATTACTGCAGTAAAATGGCAGTCAAAGTTCCCTACTCCAAGAAGAAGATCCCTCACCTCTTCCTTGAGGAACTGCTCAACCATCTCCTTGGCCTCGGCCATGGCGTCTTGGTTTGGGGCAAACATCTCATAGCAGGACTCGTCAATGGCCGTCAGCTGGACTCCTGAAGTCGTCAGAGAGAGAGACCACAGAGCCAGGCTAGGTTACCGGCCGGCATTTAGTGCCAATGGGCCAGAGATTGTTTATGGGCACCAAGGTAAAGTGGGGACCCTTGAGGTTCCCAGTCTCTAGGATTTCAATTTCTAAGTTTTCTATCTCTCGGATTTCTATCTCTAGGTTTTCAATCTCCGTTTCTAATTTCCAGGTTTATAATCTGTAGGTTTATAATCTCAAGTTTTCAATCTCTAGGTTTGCAATCTCTAGGTTTTCTATCTTTACGTCTTCTATCACTAGATTTTCAATCCAGGCTTTCAATTTCTAGATCTTCAATCTCTAGGATCTCAACCTCTATGTTTTCAATCTCTGGGTTTTCGATCTCTAGGTTTTCAATCTCTAGGTTTCAAATCTCTAGGTTTCTGATTTCTAGGTTTTCTATATACAGGATTTTAATATCTTGGCTCTTGATCTCTAGGTTTTTATCTCTAGGGTTTCAATCTCTAGGTTTTCAATTTTGAGAAATGCCCATCTGATCTCTGCCACAGCTTGAAGTGCCAGCTGCCAGCTGAGGAGTCCCGACCACTGCATTTGAAATGTCTCACTTGGAGACAGCAGTGGCTCAGTCTCATACTTTTACATAACACTTTTCACAAGCATACGTGTAGTATCTGAGAATCCAGATATATTTTATAACCTGCTTATGCAGCTGAAAGTGGAGATAACTAAACAATAATTTCAGTTCAAATATAGAACTAGGTTTCTTTAAGGAGAGAGGCGGGTCGAAAAACGGCAATATTTGGCAAAAATGTGATTTTGGGTTTTATGGTGTTTATTATTTTTTAATCGTTATATTGATACATAAAACAATTAGTGCAAGTTATGATTGTGAAATTAGTCACACGCATTTGAAGACCTAGAAATGTCGGTGCGTTTCTGCGTGGTTAATCGAGTGATGTCGCCTCCCATCACATTTATGTTGACAAATGGGCCTAGCCATCTCCTCTCCGTTGCAGTCCTATATAGATTTAATTTCTCACAGAAACTTATTAACAAACTATTATTTTTTGCACTGTGAAAGAGCATAGTTAAGTATCTATGGTAACATTTGAATGCGTTTTTCTTTTTCATGTGATTTTGGGGTATCTTCACGGTTTGTGCGCAAGAATTTATGCTCTTAATATCACCCTATCGCAACTAAATTTGGCATGCACATACTTTAGAATATGTAGGATGCAACTATATAGGTTTGGCTAGAGTAAATAGTGTATGACAAGCTATATTTAATTTAACACCAGAGTTATAAAGAGAAGATTAACCACCATAACCTGCAAAAGCTTCATTTAAACATTGAAAATAACAATAACAAACGTTTTCCCCTGGCGCATGTACCCTTAGACGTTCGCCTCTTTCGTGATCAATTGAAGATTTGATTAAGCGACTCAATGACATAGTCAAAGCCCTTTTGGCGACAAATTTAAAACGTCTAAACTTCCTTCATCACTGTAGTGTTTCCAACTTTGAATCATTGTCTTAATCATGTAAATGCATTCATGTTTTTTATTTTGCTGTAATCTGCAGTGGTACAATTTCTGCATTTGTACTTTATCGACGAGTCTTTACGCAACGTAGGCACCCTAACAAATAAAAAAAAAAATTCATACCCGTTTCAGCTGTGAGCTTTCTGATGTTGTAGCCCCCGAGTCCGACAAACCTTGCACGCTGATGCGGTGGAACCTCCAGCTTTTCTGTTGAAACGTCGGCGCAGTAAACAAAGGAATGACTCCAAAGGCATCCTTTAGTCCATCCTTTTAAGTTAAAATTTCTCCGGTACGCATTAAAGGGACATTCCGAGAGAGTCTATTTATTGTCATAATTCAATCCACGGGTTCCAAGCATCCTAGAAGAAACACAAATTACATTCAAGGGCGGCCGATTTCCTTATTAAAAAATCCAATCAAAGATTGTGCGCCGTGGCACAAAACACAAGGGGGCGCCGTCGGACGGGAAGGCAGCAGGGGAGAGCACGCGACAGCCACTCACGAGTGACGGCTTCTTGGCGGACTGATTTTTGGAATGTGTGCGTATTCGAAAGATTGGCGTGCTGGGAAGCAAACACTCGTGATTGGCTGTCGTGCGCCCTCCCCTGCTACCTCCCCGTTGGACGGCATTCCTGGTGTTCTGCTCTATGGCGCAGAAAGAGGGGCCGTGGCACAATCTTTAATTGGATTTTTAATAGGAAAATTGGCCACCCTTGAATGTAATTTGTTTGTTTTTTTAGGATACTTAGAGCCCCTAGGTTCTTTTATGACAATAAATAGACAATCTCAAAATCCACTTGAGTGCCCCTTTAAGGAGACAACATGCATTGGAGAGTCAAATTACAAAGGGCACAGTAAGTGGCACCTTACCTGACACGGGCCAGTTGTCTTTTTTCTGAGCCCTCGGCTTGCTGATCACTTCGTTCATGATTCTTAAGATCTCCGACTTGCCCTCTGAAAAGAACCCACTATACCATCAAGCACCGGCAAAACTTGTCAAAAATATTTTTAATGCACTGCCGAATAGAAGTGTCTGCTGCTCTCGTACAACACGGTGAAACCCGTTTATAGTAGACAGCAATCTTGTATATAAAATTTGTATTTGTATGTTAAGTAGATTAATAAGTGAACCTGTATTTACCCAAGATATACCTGCAACAAAATTTGACAGCTTGTAAGAGCGTTTATTGTTAGTTTATTTGTTATGCGCAAGGTCACCCCTGTGAACCTGTAGAAAATAAGTTCGGAAAACGGGGCTCTGTTCTGCAGAGCTAACTGGGCATAAAAATCTAGCTCCACTGTGAGTTTGCAAGCACCAAATAAAGGAGGTTGGTCGGCAGGTTGGTGAAAACATAATTCAGTACAAGGATAAACAGGATCGGGCACCTGTGGCTTGCTGTATGGCTTCCATGACCACCTTCACGGGAATACCGGGCAACTTGATGTCAGCCTGCAGGAAGAGAGCTGCTTCAACATCCTAAAAAGCCAATTTAACTCTTGACAGCCAACATCTAGGTGCGGCTTGCAACGAACAAGGCACAAGCAGACAAAAAACAAAATAACTCTCGAAAGCAAATAAAACATCCAAATAGCACACATGAGCCAACTGATCAACCTTGACAAGTGAAAACATGCAAAACCAGCAAGAGCAAGTTGTTACACCCTTTCAGATACAAGAAACAGGGGATGTCTCACTCTGTGAATACAGAAATGCTACTCAACAGCTAATTCGTACAGTACCTGCAATGCAGTTATTCCCTTTTTCGTCCCGGCCATCTTGAAATCCATGTCCCCGAGATAGTCTTCGATACCCTGCAAAGAAATAAAAACAAATGTCAGGACCATATTATTAAATTCGCAGGCTGCCGGCTTTAATTTTCCTCCGACGAACATGTTACCGCTCAGGTTGGTGAGCCAGTTGAGCCCTTTGCACAACACAAGTAACTTCGACGACGACCTTTCAATTCTAAGAGAAAGACGGGAAAACGAGCAGCCACTTGGTAGTGCTAGAGGGCCTCAAAGGCACCCTCGACCACTGCGTTTGCCATCTTAACCCTCCCACGCGTCGCGAACGGTCCCAAAGTGGCAACGAATGATGTCGTGGGAGCTGGGACAAAACGTCATTGGATGTTGTGGTCGTGGCCGTTAGTCATAAAGGTTCAACTAAAACGTCGGAGAGAAAACACCAGTGTCGCCGTCATCGCAGCGTCCCGACTCCTGGTAGCCGAAGCTTCCATGGACTGTCAAGCTGAAGAGCAGACAACCTTCACCGCCATTGCTGCGACACTACCAGGTTCGCGGCCAGCAACAGCACGACACTTTTACGACGTCGTCAAAGCGAAATCAAAGGACCACTTTTCAGAACGCGGTAAAGACACCAGTCGGGGAGGCGCTCCAGGCGCCGTGCCAGAATTTAGGGCACTGACCAGGAGGTCGGTGAGCAGCCGGTAGTCCTTGAGCTGGTGCGGCTGGTCGGGGTCCGGCAACGACACCAGACCGACGGCAACGCCCGCGGCCGGTGCCTGGATGGGAACCCCCGCGTCCATGAGCGCCATGCTGCCTCCGCAGACGCTCGCCATCGACGACGACCCTGCGGGAAACATAGAGTTTGTGCGAGGGTGATGCAGAAATTATCCGCGCTCCGCTCATCTGGAACTTCCGTTGGGCACACTGTCTTATCGGCGCTTTCTGTACGAGGCCGCTGCCTCTCCGGTCACTGCAGTGCGGGTCTGAACGCGGTACATCAACTCGGTTGTGATTGAGGTACGTGAAATTGTGGCTGTCCCACGTGTGATTTACAGGAGTGGGGAAGTCATTGTTTTCGTGGTCCGAGGGTGCGTCTGGTTCCGACACTTAGAAAAGACTTTGTGCACAGTATAAAGGAAGTGCTTTGTCACAGAAGTGTATTTAAATGGATACAGAAGTTTAAGGAAGGACACATGAGCGTCAGACGTAAAAAAGAAGCCGGACGCCCGTCCGCGTCCGCGGCTGGTGACGACAATGGGCATGCACGTAAACTGATTCTGTTGTATAGACAAGTGACGGTGGATGATGAGATAGATCATTTCCAAATCAGCCAGGGGTTTGCCCATGTAATAATTCGTGACAGGCTTGGGTTTAGAAAAGTTTAGACTAAAATGAATTCTACAGCCAGAGTGCGGATAATTTTTTAACCCTTTAAGTGTCGGGTTTTTTTTTTTTTTTGGCCCGGCGGTCCCCCTGTGCCAAGTCTTGTTTTTCAGTGCACAGGCAAATTTATTTTGGGCGTAATAACACATTTACATGCTTGAATGTGTATGTTTATTTAAAGAATATGTTTCTTTTAATCTTAACAACGTTCATGTACACGTCATTTCTGGTGACATTCTTCCATTGTTGCATGCGCGACTGCTCAGAAAGCGTACATGAAGCGATCACTTGTCGGTAATAAAGGTTTGTCTGCACAACAATTACATCCACAACATCTGGGGGAAACAGGAGCTTAATGTATTCCAGTTCACTTGAGGTTTTCGTAATGCCCGAGGTGCGGACTCCGGAAGACGATGACTCAAAACTCTGAAGAATGGGAGCGAAGTCACCTGTATTCCACTCGTGGCCAGTGTCGTCGAGTTTTCTTTTTCTTTTTGAGTAGCCTATCAGGTGGCGTCGAGATGTCTTCGCTTTCGTCACTCTCCAAAGTATGCTCGGTTTCACTGTCATCAGATTCTGAATTCATTAGAAGTTCCTGTATTTCAGCATCCGTCAACAAGCGCAAAGTCGAAGCATGTGCGTTCGCCATTGGAAAAGACTGTTGACGTGGAAAGGCATAGGGAAGTTGCCTTTACAAGAATCTCTACCTGCCATCAAGAGACGAAACCACCACTTAAAACATTGATTCAATTGGTTGTCCACAGATGACGCTTCCTGTTCAGAAGAATATTGTCAGCCCGAGTTTAGAGGGAAGAGGCGAGTAAATTGAAAACCCGAAACGAGTATACTCGGTCGCATCAGGGAGCGTGCAGGGAAGCGCGCCCAAGTATACTCGGGTGTGGCACTCAAAGGGTTAATCACCCTTGAATAATAAGCCTAGAGCAAAACATGCGCCGTCTTTCCTTACATTTCGGTTGCTTCGAAGCAGCGAAGTACATATACTCCGCTTCACCTTAGGATGAATCGCAGAGGACGTTACGAGCCATCCCGGCCAATTTAATGCCACGCGAGTATCATTTCAATTTCAGGAGGTGCAGAGTGATGCAAGAGTCACGTGATATGCTTGCAGCACTGGATTGGCTGCGATGGCTTGTAGTGTCCGCTGCAGTCCATTGTAACAGGAAACGGAGTGTAAAGGCATCTATTGGTGCTACCGATAGACCGATTGCTGATGATGCTTTAATAAACAAAAAGAAGCAGAAAATTACCACTTGCCAGGTCTGGACTAATTGGTCTTTTCTGACTTTATTTTGCAAGAAAACACCAACGTAATGCTATGTACCATCAAGAAAAACTAAACTTGATACGCACTCGAGGAACTGCAAGTGTCGTGGCAATATGAACAGGCTTAACGTACCCTAGAACTTTTTCCGCTGTTCCATGGCTCTCTTCCTTGCCCTCACTCACGGTACCATTGATGTCGGTGCTTACAATTTATCACCTTTCGCTCACAAAGCTCAAAGCGAAGACAATACCAATGCTTGTTCCCTGCACTCTTTCGACTCTGTCCCAGTCTTTTTTGCCGCAGTCTTAGTTTCTATTCAAGGTCACAAACCTACTTGCCTAAATCTATCCACTAATCAAACACCTCTGCTTGCGATTGGTATCACTAGTTTCTACTCAAAGTTACAAACCAACTCGCCTAAATCTATCCACAAATCAAGCACCTCTGCTTGCAATTGGTATCACTATTTGGAGTTTTCAAGCATTCTAGCCTCAAGTCACACAATAACTGCATTGTGTGTATGTTTAGTCAGCCTCAATGGAAGCCCACTGCCTCCGCTCAAGACAAGAAATTTAGCCAGTGCAGTACAACCCCTAGCCTGGGGTTTTTAACGTGAACCACACCGTGCTGATACACGACCGCATGGCAGTACGATGCTCATCCAGATCGAAAAGGGAAGGTGCGGGGATTGAACCCAGGATCTCTGGGCTCAAAGTACCTCAGATGACGCTCTAAATGCCAGAGGCCGGGCCTCCGGAAGGGGTCTGCTCCGAAAGGGTTGTGGCGGATTACCGTTGGACTCGAGCACTTCCGAGGTGAGGCGAATGGTGAAGGGGAAGTCCCTGGGGACCAGCGGACGTAGGCCATGCTCTGCCAGCGCCCCGTGGCCGAGTTCCCGTCGTCCCGTCGGCCCCGACCGGCCCGTCTCATTGGTGGCGTACGGCGGAAACTGGAAGGAAAGCGCAACCACTCACGCTAAATGGGAAAACTCTGCTTACCGTATCCAGGCTTTCGAGAAACTAAAGCTTTTTGACAAAAGAGGGACAAGGACGAGCAGGCTTTTGGATTATTCGGCTTTCCTAGGATTCCTGGCATTCATCAAAAGCACTAGGAAATGCCACTTTTGGCTAACTGGGTGGCATGCAACATTCAGCGAACAATTCAACAAGTGAAATTAAGCTCGCAGAATGAACTAGTTTTTTTAGTGTGTTCGGGTTTTCTTTTGCCGTGGTTGTTGTGCCATTCTGCCCTTCGATTAAAAATTACATTTTGTCAGTTAGTGCTTGTCCTGTCTACTTCTACTTTGGTCTCCGTGTTTTGCATGCTATATTTTATTTTCCTCAGTCATAAATCAGCTAGCCCACAATGCCCCTTTAATACAGTTCTTTATGCATCAGCCATGCAGACAGAAATGCCTTAGGGCAATCGAAAAGGAACTACTTTCAAAGGGATCCTGCATTTATTTCTGATGTTGGGCAATGAAGCAGTAGTAACATAATACAATACTCGTTGAGCGCAGCTACTAACTGTGACAATCATTACCTATGTTGTTTTTCGTGAGACACGCAAGACTATCAACATATCAATAAAAACTTGATCCATTTGGGGCGCCATTACGCTAATTGTTTAGAAAAAGGCACGAGCAAACACACGTATGCCACCATAAAACCGACTTCTGCTTCAAGGCGCAGCCCAGAGTCACCAAATGAGCTACACTTCTGAGTAACAGCACTTTGGTCACCTTGCCACTTAAAATCAGGCTTGCCAGTGATTTGGAGCTTGTTCTGAAATCACGCAAAACGGTTTTCCGTCCTCCAGAAATGTTAGAACAGCCAGCGACGGAGCAAAACAATATCGCCCCAACTTCCCGATGCCATACCTAAAAGCTCAGGAAACCACAGGTCTGAATCGTAACAATTGCCAATGGCGCCCTGCCCGCTCTGTACAATGCACCAAACTGGCAGCACCTACACATAAAGTTGGGGAATGGAATGTCGATACTCTAAGCATGGCTTAATTGATGCCGCATGCGCGACCAATGAGCCAGTTCCGTTTTTCTTCTAAGCAGCTGCGGTGAAAAGATATTTATCCAATGACCGATTCGCAAGAACAAGTGTCACTGAGGGACTTCGTACAGAGCAACAGTAGATGCCGACTCACCTCGTAATGCAGCATGAAATTTCGCTCTTTGATGCCCCTGAAATGCAAAACGAACGGTGTCCTCAAGTTTAGAATGTGAGTAGCACCCTCGACATAATTAGAAAACCTGTTAGGTAACACTAGTTATTGATTGTGTGTGTATACATAACCAGTTGCGATCATAGCATACAAGCTAGCCTGAATCATTATTTATAAGAAACAGTTTCGTTCGTCGTAACTAAAACGGCACCAAAATTGTTATGCCCCCCATGACAAACTTGAAAAAACAACCGTAAGGTATTTGCACTAAAACTACAAACGGAGAAAAAGGCATGTGAAGTTTGAATGTTCCCATTAAATGTCGAGAGGCAATACGGGACCATTGAAGTGGTTTTCACATTTACCGATTAAATAGAGGAACATAAGTTTCTCAGAAAGCTAGTAGCATGTATCAAAATCAGAAAGGCCACTTTTTAAAAATTAATTTCTTTCCGCTTTTTTTCTTTTTTTTTTTTAGCTTGTGTTTTTTCTAATTTCAAACAACATGAAGAGCAAAAAAATAAACTACAGGGAGAATAAGCAGGCCTGTTTTCTTACCCGGTTATCACAGAAACAGGATCTGACCGCAATACTGAATCCAGGGAGTCAAAGGCCACAGTGCAGAGGACCTGCATACATGTGTGTTCAAGTTTGCTACAGCAGGTCCTGAATAACACAGGAAGAAAGAATGCTGTAAAACTCTTAATGTTTGCAAGCCCCTAATTTTCGCGAATTTCGCGAATTGTAAAATTAACAAACTTTAGTGGGCACGAATATTTCTATTATCCACAGAGGCGAATTCCAGCGTTTAGAAATCATAACATTTAATGGTCGCGAATATCACCCCACTGCAAAAAATTAGGGTTGCGAAAATAAAGGGTTTTACGGTAAGCAATGCTTCTATTCACACATCACAACATAAGGCAGCCAACTAACATTCGAAGAGCAAAATTACAAAAATTGCCATGAAGCATGATTCCAACAAATGATGTCAATTACTTTATGCGGTCAGTACCTGCTATTAGCCTACATCGTTACTGAGCTTCAATTGACGAGTTCATCATTCCATATTGCAAATGCTATAATTCCTAGGGTCTCAATGTCTTCGATACAAGTTTCTAAGCATCGCACATAACAATTCTACACGCAAGTACACTACATATTACCAAAATCATGGTGTTCATGGATTACTAATCAATCAATTACATCAATCTAAATCAATCAATCATCAGCCCCATTTAGTAGAGGACAATCTTCAAAATTACAAAGGCCTCAACCAGCAAAAAGAAAAAAGCTAGCAGGAATGCAACTTCAGTACCAGAAAGATGACCCGCTAAAACATCGCCCAAGCGGCCTGCCCACGAGAGCTGGGTTGCGATGAACAGTCCGAAAATTCAGGTCGAGCACACCCAGCTAGGACGTTTGCAGTCATTCACTCGGGAGATCGGCACCGATCGATCGGCATGCCTCACCTGCGTCTGACCACGCTGGAAAAGCGCCGATCCGTGAAGCGGCTGGAAAAGGTCCACCTGACAGGAGATGTTCCGCAGGTCTGTAAGCCCTCTCCCATCAAACCTGAGTGAACGAAAAGCGACGCCTTTGAAAGCCTCCAACCGACTCATCACCGGAGTTTCTTCGGGCTATATTAGGAGTTCGGCCAAAATCACTATCTGTAGCGCTGTTTCCGTAACTCGTGTATTCGATAGCATGGTCGCCGTCACAATCATCGTAGCTGCTGTGCACAGAGGCCCGTTAACACACTTACGTTGGCTCGCATCCGAGTCCTTGCGAAATTTACGACGAGAAAACACGCTGTCAAGCAGCACCACCTCTGAAGTGGTCCTGGAGCCGTATTTCAGCAGAGCGAGCAAGGCTACCCAGTGGATGGTGTCAGTGGCATTGCAAGTGGGGGAGCTCATGTGGCTTGAACATCCCCGCCCCCCAAATCTAGCCGATCCTATAGTATACACATGCATTTTGACCCCATCCAGGACATGGACATACCAGGAATCTCAACCTCAACACCCCCCACCGGAAAACTTTCCCGGCTACGCCACTAAATCAGTCTGTTCGCTTGTCGCAAGAGATCTCAAGGGGTTTTAAGGCTCTCGGTAGTAAGCAAACACAGGTGCGTGAACCAGCCTTAAAAGACTCCACTACGGTAAAATCAGCTTTTTAAAATCAAAATCTTTGCTTTATTACTACCTCAAATGCCTATACCAGTCTAACAAGCAAACTTAAACTGGCCTGCAATCATATTTAAGCGTCTAACTTTTTTGCGGTTTCCACGTCTTTTGGGGTTCGGGTAAGCCAGCGGGCACGGAGAGAGAATCTAAATAACAGAGCGTCATATTTTAACCGGACGACACGGAAACCTCCTCCACCTACTGGGGCGACCCGCGGTACCGAAAGCACACAATATGTGAAGTTTTTGGTCCTGGGCTTACTACTGGTCAGAGCCACTAAAAGCTTCTTTTTAGTCGAAATACAAAATATAGGTGGCACGAACCGTTTCGATTATTTATGAAAGTAGTTTTTGTTTAGTATTTTTGATCAGAAAAGAAACAAATGCAGTTTATAAAGTACGGAAACAAGAAATGACCCGTCGTCATACCCGCCGCCAAACGGTGCAGAAAGCAGCACATACTAGAAAGGGGTAGTGGGATCAGGAACCGACGAGCGGCGAGCGTAGAAAGGTCCCGGATGTACACGGCGGCGCTGCAGTCGTATACGGGCTCGAGGATCCGACTGGTTCCGAGTGTTCCGAAGGCCTCCGTGAGCAGGTCTGGTTTGCGGTTTGGCCTTTTGGCGGTATGGCAGCGCAAAGTGGCTCCTGTTCTGAACTGATCTTTACCCAGTGTTTGCTGTCGTTTGTGGCCAATGAAGTGTCATGCCGAATTAGTGTTTAATCGTGCAGCAAATGCAATGCGAGCCGCCCTGGCTGTCCGCTTCATACAGCCTATCCAGCACATGCGTTATTGGCGCCTTTTCGAGCCGTTGACACGGAGTGCGGCAGCCGTGAGCGCTCACTGAGCTCACTACCCCTCCTCTAGTTCATGGCCACTCAAGCGACCAAGGACATCATGAAGGTTATTTTTTGCTTGTTTTTGTAATTGTACTTTGGCTATAACTTTTAAAATGAAGCAAAATTCAAGAAAAGTTTCATTAAGGTACTACGTTTAGTGCGCTCAGGTTCAGTGCAAATTAAAAACCAGTAAAAAAGTCCTTGCAGGGCCCCTTTAAGCTCTGCATTACCACACCCTTGCCTTTACTATACTATATGTCTTTATCACAGAAAGTTTCTACTGTACTGTCAGGGTCATCACAATCATCACTATAATCGGTACAGAGGTATCTCGTTATATATGAACTGCTTCATTTTCCCCTCGAAATTGTCCATAATGTGAGGTGTTCCTCATAACAAGACGAAAACGAACGTATTTATCCAGTTTGCCCCGCAATACTTTGTCTCTATGGCAGGGTATCCATGCTAACGAGGTATTAACGAGACATGCCGGCATCGTAGGTAGCATTTCCTCATTGCCATCGCATTCATTTGCCCACGCTGGATAATAAAAATCGGTCCTATCACTGATCGCTGCAAGCATCAAAACCAGCCATCGCCGCAGTCGTTAGGACCGTAGCACGGCTCAAACAGTCTCCAGAACAAAACATATGCACGTATGCTACCCCGATGCTCACGAAAGTCTAGCCAAAAAAAAAAAAGAAGTGATGCACTACCTTTTCTCGTTTTGCAAGACTTGTTCCCTAAAGACTGCCTTCAAAACTTCCGTGAAGGCTTCATTGAGCAGGAAGGATTCGACGCCGGGGAAGCTCTCTGAAAGAAGACGGATGACGAACGGAACGACCAATCAGAAAAAAGAATTCGCTTCGAGTGGTCGGGCACTGCGGAAGCTCTTTTTTCGCCACGGTAACAAAGACAAAGCTTGATTTATTTTGGAAGCTTGGCTCCCTTTTCACATATGCAGTAAAAATAACTATGCAGAGCGCAAGTTTGTCCGCTTTTTTGGCAGGAGGTTGTAGCGATGTCGGAATGCCAAGCTCCGATTGGCTCCGATAGCAGGTAGATGTCGAGGCAGCCTCCTTCGAGGCCTACCCACTATCCTTCAATCAGAGCCAATCAGAGGTCGGCATTATGACGTCACCACAGCCCTTTGCAAAAGAAGTGAACGAACTTGCACTCCGCATAGTCAACAATGGCTTCAGAAACACAGAACAAGGCTTTCAATGTTCCCACTTCCTGATAGGTTCTTCGGCGCTCTTATCGGCTAATGCCACAATCCCAATGGTGGCTGTGCGGCAATAATAAGATGCTCCAAACTTGGCACAGCCTCAGCTTCTTAGGCCGTCAGTGACCATACTAGTACGTACCAGTTAAATGCAGTAACATAGGAGAAGCTGGTAGATTTATGACCAGAGGTAGTGGTGTCATCAGAGATACACTACTGAGAAGCGACTGTTTTAGAGCCTACCTTAAGAAGTGAATTTCAATATTGCATTTAATATATTATAATAAATATGAAAAACTATTTTTAAAACACAGTTTCTTTTATTATCTTAGATGCCTGCACAACAAATAATTGCTACGGTGAGGAAAGTGCAGACCACCCCAGCTTCAAAAACATGACCCTTACAACAAGGTGTCAGCATGGACTAATCAAACGAGAAAGTAATGAGCAAACAAAGGACATAATCCGGTGCGTAAAAGTGACCGCGACCAACCTTGTAGTTTCTCGAGAATGTCTTGCTTCAATTCGGTCAGCGCATTGTCCCTGGAAATCTGCGAAACCGGAGAAAATTATTCGAACTGAAAACGAGCTACCAAAGAAGCCTGAGCGAAGTCAGATGAACCCCAAAAACTGGCAAATGGAGAAGAGATTGAGATGCACTAAGAGACGAAAGGGTGACGCACCTTGTCGTGTCCTACGTCCGAAAGTATGTCTCGAACTCTCGTCTCTGCGAGCCTGGAAGAATATAATGGGCTGGCAACACATCGGTCAAATCCGTATGACCCCGCCGCATTATCCGGCACCACACAAACGGTTACGTGATGAGACCTTGTATTGCACAGTGACTTGACACCCGACATTATTGTATCTAATAACATTGCCGACACTGCAAAATCTTGTGACATGACCTCTCATCATGAGTTACGTGACACCACTATGTGTCACTGATATCGTGAGACCTGGCACACATCACATGACCAGGTGGCCCATGGTGGCATGAGCCATGTTATCATGGGACCTGTAGACCCCTTCAAAACTTATGCCCTCTTTCGGAATATCTGAGAATACTGCAAAGTGGTGTCCGCAAAAAACACCAACAAGCTGGCAGGTCTATAACTGATAAGATGCTCAGTTCCAAGAGACTGTATACAATCGATAAACTTGCCATTTTTGTGGCGTCTTTTGTGATGCCATTTTGCAGTATTTTTAGATTGACCCTAAGAAGGCATAATTTTTGAAGGGGCCTCCAGTGGCACCACCCGCCTAACCATGTGACCCATTGTGGCATTCCACTAAATTCAGTGAGAAGTTATAGCTCACTAAATTTGAGTGATAATGGCACGATATGGCTATGGCTACGGCCACTACGACGCAACAGCGCGACGTAATGCAAATCTCAGCTCCACTACCGTCAACCCCTTGAGAGCCATGCCCAAGTATGATAGGGCATGTTCCCGTGTAGTTTCAGTTTCGGTTTGCTCCCTGCCTCTCCAAACTGGGATGTTTTTTTGCTGTTTTTTTTCTTTTTATGTAGTATATTGCAATATTTTAAGAGATGCCCCACCCGTGAAGATAACCCACCTCTATTTTTGGCTGGATTTGCTTTTCTATTTTAAACACCGAAAGATAGCCCACTCCTCGTAACCATAGTGTTCGGATCAATGATGGCCTCAGTGTAAAATCGGCTAGTTTGCTATATTGAGGTATAAGCGAACATTGCTGACTGGTAAAAAGAATCATCTTTCCTCATTGTCCCTTGCCGCGATAACAAGTTTGACACAAAAACACGATCTAAAAACAGTGTTCGTTCAACTTTTATTGATTGTACACCAAAAGTTAGCTTACTCCTTATTTTTGCCAGACTTGCTCTCGATTTTAGGTGGGTTATCTGTCGGGATATTATGGTTGGTATGTATGAGCAAATGACGAAAACAATGTTTTTTTTTTTTTGTTTTTTTTTTGTGATGTCACTTTTAGATGGTATGTAACTTTCTTGTTTAGACAACTTCTGTTTTGGTATGCTCCTTTGTTGTTACAAAACGGCGACTCTACGTTGTTCAGCCACACAATTCATGGCGAACATTGAGATCTAGGAATAACTAATGAGCTCGGCACTTGACGACTGTGAAGACAAAGGAGTTACAGTTCTAAATAAACAAAGGACGAGTAAGGCCGCTCAAAGGATCGACCTCGGGGTGTGACGTCAAGGTGCCACTGCATAGCATACATGGGTAAATTACTTTCAAAATGTAATTTAATTACAATTACAATTACTTAGCCCCCAAAGTAGTTTAACTACAATTACAATTACTACTATGCGAAAGTAGTTCATTGCAATTACAAATTACTTTTTAAAAGTAATGCAATTACTTTACAATTACTTATTTCTGAGAGTTACCCACCTTGGGCCATATAACTGTAAACGAGTTATATGGCCGCTGTATAAATGTCACGCATTGTACTTTTCTTTTATGAAATTTGTTAAATGGATTATAGAACTTAATAGTTTGGAGTAATGAACTTCTGATTTCTTATATTCTCAAAAAATAAAAATAAATGGCGACAAAATTCACAGGTGCGAGGTGAATCTCTTTAGAGCTTGTGCAAATGGTATCCAAGTCAAACCAACAAAAAATAAACTTAAAAATAATACAAGGAAACAAATATGCGACAGTACTGGTATCATAAAACTCGGTGATTCGCTGCCTCTCCCTGTCTGTGGACTTGTAACATGTCGGATGTGGGTAACCGTAGCACGCGAACTGCGGTCGCTTCCACAAAACTAGTGTCACAATAGCAGCAACTCTCTTGCCAGGGATTCTGGGTTAATTCAGTGCACGGTAACACCAAAAAAAAAAAAAAAAGCTCCTGAGATATATAATAAATTTAGGATCGTCATGTCAGGCGAAGAAGCAAAGAAGCAGCAGGTCTAATCAACACGACTCACCCTGCCTTACTTCCAACTGTTGTTGCTAAACTGCGCTTCTTCGCCTCGATATTAGAGTAGCACGACCCTCTGTTAGTGGTACCAACATACGAGATAGAGGAGAAAGACGTGAAAACTCATAGAGAAAAGAGAATAATTACATGAACAAAAAAGTCCCCAAACTTGACTGAAATATGTAAGCGAATATGCTAGCGGCGAAGACGCGTAAGGAAAACTTCGAACCTCCCCGCCTCGACCGGATGATGTGATCGGAGCCAACCAGCTCGACTTCGACCCCCATACCCCCGTGTGGGAATGAGAAATAAGAAAGACCCCTAGAAACAGGAGCAACAGGAAGCGAACGAGACGAAGAGTCAGATTCAACTACGACAGGAACGAAAACGGACGCGAATGAAGCCCTCATTTATCAAATTATTTCTGAAATTCTTCATTAAATCGTTTTGCAGTCTACAAAATCCTTCATTCCGTTCTATCCCAGCCTCCCTTTTCCCTTTTTTTGAGCAGGTTGGGAGACTCTCTCTTTTATTGCTTCGGTTGTGCTCTCGTCGCCGTGGCCAGGGGGGAAAAGCGCCACCGCCGCAAAATCTTGCAAAAGTAATTGTAATTGTGCCTGAAATTTAGCAATTACTGATGCTAGAAAGTAATTAAATTACAATTACAATTCCTTTCAGCCAAAAGTAATTATTACAATTACAAATTACTAGGAAAAGTAATTAAATTACAGTAATTTAATTACTGTAATTGAATTACTACCCAAGTATGCTGCATAGTACTGTGCCTCGAAAAGTGCAATACGAGAAATATGTCAGGCTGGTGAAGGCATGCATACATTCAATTAATTTTTCGCCCATAAAATAGCGTGTTTTTTTTTATAAATAAATACTCTTCCAAAAGATTGTTACACATGCTGTGTATAGACAGCGGCAGCAAGGTCATGATGCGTTTTCCCACTAAGTTTAGTGGGGAACCTGAACCTGTCCGTAGGTCCCGTGACGTCAGGTGATGTGACATCACGGGACCTTTTCGTTTACGCTCACACCGTCGCGAAAGCAGGAAACGGGCCACTAACAGCCGCAGCTGTGAAAAGCATTCTGCATTAGAAAGGAAATGGCAGACGCAAAGGCTTACAGGCGGGCGGAGTCAACCATCTCGGGAGTGGGCACGAAGTATTTCTCGACGTTGCGTTTGGGCCTCCCACATAGCTTCTGGAACTCCTTGATCTGTCGCACAATGGCCTGCGTCTCCTTGACGCCAAGACGCACCGCCTTCTGGAAGTCCTGAAGTAGCACGTTGTCCCCCGACGCTTCCAGCATCACTGCAGACGCAGGCGTCGAGTTACGAGGCACGGCTGGCACAGTCCCGAACATGTTTCCCACTTCTGCGCACTGTCTGCTGGCATCTGGATTTGGCGCTGCAACGGCCCTCATCAAAAGCTCCCTCAAATTTAAACGAATAAAATGTGACTGTGTCCCCTTGAAATGTACTGACTCTACTCATCCTTTCGCTTCTTCCTTGGCAACATTCCTACTTTGAACGCCATCTCCGAAAAAAAAAACAGGAGTAAGCTTGAAACACCACCTGTGAAGTTCAAGCATGTACATTGTGTCGTCAAAAAAATGTGGTGTATCTTTGTTTTTCTTCACTGCAAAAACATACTAAGCGTTGTAAACGCTCAGTCTCAGCCCAAACGCAGCACTGGTGGTTCGGACCAGACGCCAAGTTTCTGAACAAACCGTCGGTTTATTCGAGAGTTAAGAGCGTTTTTCCGAGACTTTCAAAGGAAAAACGGAGCCCGTTACTGGTAGCTGACGCCATTCATACCCACACATTTGTGAGCTTCGACGGCGACCATTTCACCAATGAAAATCTATAAAAGTCCCCCAGAAGTTGCAACCTTTCAATAAGATAACGGGTAGTCCTGAAGCTACAGCGTCTGGTCCGGGCTGCTAGTGATACACTTGGGCAAAGCACGAGCGATCGGCGATGTGTAGAATGTTTTTGTGGTGAAAAACCGCCATGAACATTTTAGAGTTGTAAAAAGACAATATGCGAAACCGTGTCACAGTGCACCTTCAGGTTCTTTCTTCGCAGGAAGGAAAAGGAGACGAAACGTTGGCGCCCACACTTACCAACCTGACTGTGTTCGGCTCCGGTGACGATCAGGTTGAGGCTGCTCTGCGCCATCTGGCGCCGGGTCGGGTTGATCACCACGTCGCCGTCGATGAGGCCCACGCGCACAGCTCCCACGGGTCCCTCCCAAGGCACGTCGGACACCGACAGTGCTGCCGAAGCTGCAGAGTTTGAGACGCCATGCTTCCACTCGGGCAGCGATGGCACCACAAGCCAAAGTGACCGAAACAAGTGCGCCGGATGAGTAGGGTTGTCAATTTCAGAGCTTCAATGTTGGTTTTCACGCATCTAGCTTTCTTCGTTTACCGTTTTGTCAATGTGATAGTCGAATACTCCTCCCAAAGAAAGAAAAAGGTTTAACTCCTATGGAAACGCAGCGAAGTCACTGGTCTTCAAGCAATGGGGCTCCGTATTGATTGAAAACCAGTGGCTTTGCTAGGTTTCCAGAGGAGTTTAGTCTTTTTCTTTCTTTACTTTTTTCTCAGGTAGGTTTGCTCTCTGCAAATTTTATAGAAAAATGCACTACCTGTGGGCAACGCTGCAGAAAATCGTAGCGCGATAGGTTAAGAAACCGAATTTTGCGGTCGATTTAAAGAGCCTGGCCACTATTTGAGACGCCCAATATACCAGCTGCTGCAGCTTCGGAGGACTGTCAAGCTGGAGAGCGATCTACAGCGGAGCAGGCTTCCGCTGCATCCACCTCCGCAGTCGCACCACTGCCAGAATCGCGGAACGCAACGACTCAATACTTTTGTGACGTCACCGGGTGGACCTTAAGGGACCTTAAGGGACCACAAATGAGGACGCAGTAAAAAGACCAGTCGAAGATGCCTTCTAGGCACCATAATGACACTAACAAAAACCGGGGGTTTGGGTTAGTGGCATCACTGTCCGACATGTGAAGTGTCATCACAGTACACACTCCCGAGAAGAAAGCTCTTGTCGTCGCAAAAGACAACCGAGGAACTCGATTCTTTCAGTATGCAGAGTGTTTGGGGTTGGACAACATTCAAAGACCTTCGACGACACGCTGTCTCTATGCTGCATGTTGTCTCTATGTTGCTGCTAGTTCTGGAATAATTAATAAATATGGGTACAACATTGTGCAGTTTTGTCTCATGGAGACGTTCGGACAGCTCACCTGCGTTGAGGCTGACGATGTCGGGATCGTTGATGCCGTCCACAGCCAACAAGTTGCACATCAGCTGAAACAATCCGGTTCCATCAAATCCATTTGGCACGCGTGCGCACTCGGTAAGAGACTATAAATCTGCAGAATCAGTGCTTGATGAAATAAAATGTACCATATTTACTTGCATAATGAACACACTTTTTTTTTCAGAAAAATTGACCCATATTTGTGGGGGGGGGCAATCATTACACAGGGTAAATTTTTTCATTTACAGACTTTGTACAAATGTCATTTTAGGTGCCAATATAACATGGCAGGCTACTGTGGCCCATCTCCACTGATGACGGAGGCGCACCCATGGCTGGTCATGGGCGCACCACAGTAACCATGCTCTATAAATTGCTAACCTTTTTTACGGCGCTTTTGGCATGCCTTTTGCCAAAGAAGAAGCGCCCTACGAAGATCGCTCAGCACGGGGAACAATGCTACCATTCTTAGGACTAACTACTTTCACTCACTGTCCGAAAGCGGACCACAAATGACTGCATGTTTGTTGACATCAATGCATCGGATAGAAGAAGGATGTCCGGGCCTGGACAATTCCTCGACCCAAGCTTCGTCAAGTGTGCGCGTCGCTCGGTTTCACGATTGATCATTTCCGCAACTACGCTCTTGCGGCCTGTTACAGCCATTACAAGAGAGGCGGGCTTGGCTTGGCCTTACTGCTTGGCGGCAAAAGAAAATTGACTTGGTGGCTAGGTAAATTGGACAGAATTCGAGACTTGCGGAGTTGAAAATTAGAAATGCGTTCATTACGCAAGGGGAAAAAAAAAGTCCAAATATTGGTACCCGTTTTGGGGTGTGTGTTTATTATCCGAGTAAATACGGTAGTTAAAACACTGAGCGTAAAGTTCCACACCCCCTGCCTTCAGCAGTTTCTTTACGATAAATTATTTGATAAATTAATAAATTGAAACGATTTACGCAAGTAAAGAACGGCAATAAACCTACAAAAAACTTGGAATTGTTGACATCTTTGAGGACCAATAAATTTGCATTCATATTTAATAGGTTTCACTGTCGTTTGTGCAGCCCTTGACTAAATTCTTTGCACCTCAGGTACACCAGAAAGATGTTCACACACTTGCGTTTGGTAGCAACTGAGTGTGCGACAAATGGTTTTTAACCCCTTGCCTACTCATTTTTTTTCTTTAAAGATCGTACAGAAAGCTTTATTTAAATCAAGCAATTTGCGTCAAAATAAAGAAAAACGTTTCCTTGGCTTTCAGGCGTAGTCTCGTGCTCTATACCAGGACTTCTGGTCGTCTCCTCTTCTTCAGTAGTTCTTCACAGTATGAAAGAAATCGAGAGATTAGCAGAAACCTCACATAGGACATCGTTTTGCCGAAAATCGGGGTCTCCACTATGGACCTCTTGGACCAGTTCATTTTGACTGTGTTTTTTCACTTGCGTCATAATTAATCACAAGGCAAAGTATGCCGTTATCTCATCCGGAGTGGTGTCAAACCATTGCTCCTCATAGCATTTCTTGGGACGATCCTCGTCGCCCATCTCTTGTTCGGCGTAGCGATTTGTCTCAGCAGAGACAGACGCCCAAAAATCATGACTTGCAAACACGGAAAAGGTCGACAAGGCGCTTGTCTTCTCACCAAGACTGCGTTGAACCCTTGCTGACACACCTGGGGTTTCTACAAAGGTGAACTGAGCAGGCTGGTTGTCTCTCTTCTCCCAGTTCCACTGACGTGCAGACGCCGAGGTCGATGAAATGCTTCCAGGATTCGCATCGTTTTCAACATTTTTCTCACTGTCCGTTGAACTCTCATCGGATTCCGAGTAATCGGAAAGGCAGCAGGATTCGTCGTCAGAAATACTGGCGCATTCATCACTTTCAAAAAGAAGTCTTTGTATACCTTCGTCCGCCAAAGCAGACCTCCGCGCCGAAGACATGTTTTTGGCGCGCTTGCTTACAATAGCGCGCTTATTTTTTGTCAATAAAGCGCCCTCTCTCCGTCAAAAGGCAAAGCAAACAAGAAAAGAACCCAAGGTAAACAGGAGCAACAGGGGTAGTGCTGCCATCTGCCGCAGAGCTCACAAAACAAGCTCTGAAACCGAAACACGAGTCACACTCGTGGTCGGGTTTTATGGTCCGTAAATGGCGGCACGAGTGACACTCGTTATTAGTAGGCAAGGGGTTAAGCCAATTGCGACTGATTACGATAAGTTGCTCAGCAGTGTAGCAAGCTGAGTCTGAAGCTGAACTTACCTGTGTTTCGTAGAAATAGCCGGCCGGAAAGAGGGGCCTCAGGGACCGATCTGAGAACAAAATAAAAATGTTTTCACATGCGACAATTTCTACAGCAAGACAAACACAAACCCTGACTGTAAAATGTTTCTTAGTAATACACACTAAAGGACAGAGCATTCTATTCTTACGAAAGGCACCCCTCCCTTTGATACTAAAATAATGTCACTGATAACTCCAGACAAGCTGCAGTTGTGAATAATCATTCTTACCAAAATAACTTTCAATGTAATCTTCTTTATTAGTGAGTGACAATGTCTTTATTAAACTTTATATGACCTCATACTACATTATTTTTATTATTATTATTGATAAGGGTTGTTACATTTACATCATTAACAAACTTCTTCCAAAACTTTAGGCATTCAGTGCCAGATGCCTTCAATTTAGTTTTATTTTCAGCTGAACTATAATAGACGAATAAATCCAAACATTCGTGACTTGTTGCTGTGAGCGAGACATGAAGGCGCTAGAATATGAGCATCCACTCTGCTGTGATATTTTAAAAAGTTTTCAGCATCTGGCAACCAAACTTTGCAGCTGGAGAGTTTTACAGGAACCCACATTTTTTTTAAGATGGCCAAACTGGCGTTGGCAAGTAGTACACTTTGGGGTGATGCCCAAAAGCAGCTAGTTTCTGCCACGTTGTGAAGCAAGGCAGTGACACCTCAAATTGCAGTAGATAGTATTGAGAGGAATATGTTGGCAGAGTAGATGGCAAAAATGCGCCATACCTATGACACGGCTCGTGAGTATTTCTTTCTCCGTAGGTCCCAGCTCTCGACGCAGAAAATTGGTGGGTATTCTGCCCGCTGCTGCAGCCTTCTGTCGATAGTCCACCTGAAAAAGAAATGGCATGGATTTCGACAAAAAACAGGTGTTGCTGAATGCCTCAATGTCACAAAAGTGGAACACCGTTTACATCAGTGAAGAATGTGCCAAATATATCACAACCAGGCACTCTTACCTTGGTTTTAATGAGCTGGCAGTATTGATAATAAAATAAAAACTGTCCAAACGATCAGTCACATATATATCACGCCAACGTCATTTCAGTTACATGTGCCTATCAATAATGCCACACACACATTATTTAGGTTTTTGCTCCCCAAACTTTTAAACAGAGACACGCAGCATACAGATACAAATCAAAATTAAATATGTTCCCTATTTACAATACTGAATGAACTAAAACATTTACAGGCCTGGGAATGTTTTGCAAACACATAAGAGGATATGCTTATGCTAAGCAATACTTACTAGAATGCTACTGAAATCAGGTAAAAATATGGTTCAAGCGTGAAACTCGATAATCAATGTTTCAAGGCAGTTTGTATACTGGGCCGGCTTTCTAGAAGCAGCGTCTCAGCTAAGAAAGAGTGAAAGAAAGCACTGCCAAAACTAGTGCACAGGCGAAGTTCCGTCTCAAGTTGAGCCCCAAGCGCTTGTGCACCCCATGCTTGGCAGGCTTTCTTTCACCCAGTCTCAGCTAAGACACTATTTCTAGGAAACCGGCTCTGGTTTCTAATACTTTCAGGCTGAAAGCGATAAACGGGTTGGTTATTATCAACATTACAACAAGAGAATGCAGCTGATTGCCTTCAATGTGAAACGTGCCTCATGGAAGCCACCCTCACCGGTGACCGATTCTGCGGCGTGAAAAACTCAGAAGGTCCAACGCAAGCTGTGCGTAACTGCTGCCTGGCAACCGTGAATGAGATTCATGTGGGACACTTTCACTCTGTCCAAAAAGTCTCGTAATTAACAAGCGCAGCAACTGTCCTCGTACCCAAGTCCTGAAGCATCTTGGTGTCTCGGAAGACGTAGTAAGTAGCCCAGCTTGTCGGCAGTGCAGCAGAAACTAGGGAAGCAGAGTGCCGTGTTTTGCTCGCAGTAGTGTATCGATGCACAGCCAGTCCGAAGCTAGGCGATGCCTAAACTGGAAAGGGCGCTTACTCACGAATCGATACAATAAAAAAAAAACTAAACCCTTGCCGAGATGTTTAAGGAATGCAGGGTGTGGCGATTCCCCAAGCACCTCATTATCACTCCGCGGCTAATGAGACTGTAGCATTAAGTGATAAGAATGCAGAGGAACAAACTGACAGCAAGACGCGTGAACACCATAAGTCGCACACCGCGTTCCTTTAGCTGCCAGTGACTAAATTACAGACAAGCTGCTAGCTTGATGACAGGAGAGTAGGGTGCCTCACCACCAGGGGCAGGAAAGTGGCACTCGTCGGCTTGGTCTTGCTGACGACTGTGACCATGACCGAAGTGTCGCCGATCTGCGCCACCGCGGAGCCATCGGCAAACTTGGCCAGCCGACCCGATGCCAGCTTGAGGACTTGGCTGAAAGCACGATGGCAGCAATTAATTTGCTGTTGTTCGAACCAGTCTGTTGGCACTTTATTCGCAACAATAGGCCCTTTTCAAATATGATTGTCATCTAATGGCCGCTCTGCCCATTATCTGAGTTCACCGTAGTTTGATCAATTACTCCGAGCATGTATTTGAGACGAGTCCTGCATTGACGATTGGACTGAACTCGCGTCGGCTCATGTCGAGAACGAGTACTGCATCAGCATTTGGCAAAGACTCGGATCCAATCACATGCTTCGTTCCCAAGAAACAGCGGTTACCAATGCTGCTTGGTGGGGTTTCGAAAAGGGGTCTATGCCGCAGTGCTTGCTCGGTTTCGGCAAAAAACAAAATCTATCTTTCAGTTATTAAGTACAGTTCGAAGATATTGAATCTTTATTATAGCAGAATCAGGGTTGTGGTCTGCCATTATGAGCGTGTACCGCCGTGATTCAAGCTTTTTTTTTTTTTTTTTTTTTTTGTAAGTTGATATTTGCGCAGAAGGTTACAAAGTAACTAAAAATGCTACCCGTCAACGGAAATGCTGAAACTGACTTCCAGCAGAAATCAAACAGCTTCGAATAAGCAGTTAATAACTGAGGCTGCGAAATGCCTCCAGTAATTACTTTGACTGAATAATAGTTATAATTATAATCATAATCATAATAAGCTTTGATTACTCAGGAGAGCCACGGCGCTGCGGAAAGACAATAACCCGTACCAAGGAGGCCCGCGACGACACGTCTAGTGATAGTGATTATGCGATGATCTATACATATATATACAAGGTGAAGGCGACATGCTCTTTTGATTGTCGCGAAACCCGCTGCCCGAATCTTGGAGGTTCGGTGACGGTTCAGGCGAGTAAGTCAGCTTCAATCAAATATCGATGTCCCAAAACGTGACGGTTACACTTGTTAGCTAATATTGCCACTTTCGGTACGGCACCGAAGCTCTAGTGAGCGTCGGAGTGAGTTCTGGAATGAAAAGATTGATCCAGAACGCAAGTATGCGGGCGATGAAACCAAACGATGCAGGGAACCTCACGATAACTCCGGAAATGTCACGCGACATTCTTGAATGGCTCGGGACATGGTAACAAATTGAATTCAGAGAAAAATGGAAAACTGCAAGATGCCAACCCACGAGTTATCACACGCATCACGGCGTTTCGAAACTTACTCATTTGAGAGCATCACTTCGGTTTCGTGGAGACCGATGCCGGCGGCCCCGTGAGCATGACGCACGCCGAGGCGGTACAGGACGCACTCGACCTTTCTGCCGTACACCGGTCCATACTTTCCCGGGCACTGGTACAGGCCAAAACGGGAACAGAGCGATCTCGCGCACGCCGCCGGGACCTTCATGCTTCCTCAAATTTGATCGCAGGGCGCCGCCATGTGTTTGTTAAAATGCAGGAGGCCTGTTCAGCAAAATGTCGCTTATCTTTTTGTTAGTAGTGGCGCTGTAAGACGGTCGTTAACGAATCCAATTAGTATTATTTTTTTGAGACACTAGATACGAGGAGATCTGTATAATAATATTCACAATATCTGAATATAAATTAGTTATTTCAGACCTTTATTGAAAACTCATTATTCAATAAAAAGAATTGCCTCACTCGTGACAATTTTGAGCGGGAGAGCCTCAGCCATTTTAAAACAACTTGTCACCGACTGAAAAGCACAGTAGTAGGAAAATACACGAGTAATATGACTTGCAGACAAACATTCGCACTGAGACAGGCGCAACTGTGATGCCTTTGCGTAGGCATACTTAGGCAATAGTATACTCCGTCTCATATGACGTACTAATGAAAGTGATCAAAATATCGACTCTGTTACGCCGGGGAGGCACTCACTTGATCGAATGACGTTTTTGGCGAACGCCCACGTGTCACCGAATGTCACTTTAGCGAATAGTCGGACGCCGCGAAGCGGCGTTTTCGGTTGAGCCAAATAGGTTCGCATTTTTGTAATGAGCCGCCGCAGACTGTCGCCGCGAAGCGGCGTAAGCGCAGCGCGTCGGATAGGTTAACGCGGGCCCCCGTTATTCGCTAAAACGTCGATGCGCTCAAATGTCGCTGTTCGCTAAAACGTCATTCGCTCATGTGATATGAACCCGTATTTGCAACCACTTCTCTCAAAGTGCTAGACGCCATCATCGGCGTTACATAAAACTACAGTGTTCTAGGGAGTTTTATATAAAACCCTTCTTTGTACGCGCTAATTTGTTCAAATACTCTTTTTTTCCCTCGCTCCAGTCCACCGACTGGAATTCTCTTCACTTTGATCTTATTTCATCAACCTTTTTCGCTGTTACTGGATAACGTACTCTCAAAATTCGTAACTTCTTTACCGTCATTCCTTTTCAGTCCTGACACCTTTTTATTTTGCCAGCAGCGGCGCTCATCGTTGTGAACGATAACATTTGATATTTACAGTGTTCTGGACTTTTTTTTTTTTTTTTTTCGCCTCGTGTCTCAAGCCAATTCCTCCTAAGTGAAAAAAAGAAAAACCTAAGTGCTGAATTTTTCTGCGTCACTAACGAAGGTCATCGTAGGCCACAGATTGGAGACGATTGCTGAGAGAGCGTTCAACAAGGACGTCGTGTTCTCACTGATTGGACGCGAGTTTCGACCGAACGCTGACGTCGTAGTCGTGTCCATTCTGTGGCCTAGGGTCGTTAGTGACGCCGGAAAATTCAGCACTTGGGCGTTCTTATCTAGGAGGTATTGCGAATACCGATGGGTATTCGCTTTTTTTCTGTGTAATATGTGCATTGTGGATGCACATTTGTACAAGTTTTCGTTACTTTTTAATTTTTTTGTGAAATGTATACTTGTTCTATGAATTCCTATGAAATTCGCTGTATTTTTCTTTTGCCCTTCCTGCCTATACCATTCATTTGATCTGCAGTGTAGCAGACAGCCTACTATCATCCTGCTTGGTTTCGGCTCCTCGAAGTGAATATATTTACCACCTGAACCAGGCTACAACATGCAGTATCTAATAATTTTAAAAATCTTGCAGTAGGCTGCAGTGGACACTACCCCTCCCCGACAGCCAGCAGATGGCCAACATTCCAGCTGTTGTTCAACGACTTGAGGCATCGCAAAGTAGCATGCTGGCCAAAATCAGTGCCCTTGAAAGTGACCAAAAAATCGCGAATGCATCAGTGGGTCAACTCTCCGCAAGATTGACCGCCGTCGAGGCGGAGTTGACTCAGTTGACTGCCTCACACGTCGTATCTAGTCCCAGCTCTTCAAACAGTATGTCTATTCAGTTGGCTGATGTTCGTAAATAATGTGCAGACCAGCAAAATAGACTTTGACGGTCTAACCTGTTGTTCTTTGGCTGTCCGGATTCCCCCTCCGAAAGCTGGAGTCAATCAGAAGGAAAGGTCGTTGCCTTCTGCTCCGAAAACTTGAAATTTGCCTTGAATCCGGCAAATTTTGAACGGGCGCATCGACTTGGTAGACTTCAAGCGGGCAAAAACAGACCAATTATTGTCAAATTTGCTCGTTTCAAGGACAAGGAAAGCGTATTGGCCTGCGGGGTAAAGTTGAAAGGTACTGTTTTTGCTATCCGAGAGGACTTCTCCGCTTCGGTACGGCTGGCTCGAGGCAGACTCTTTGAGCATGGGACAGCCCCTTTCAAAATACGCTTCGACAAATTGCTTGTTGGTAACAAACGCTACTTTTTTTAACGAAGAATCTCAATCTGTAGACGAGCTTCATTCCCTCGAACCGAATTCGTAGCAAACAAAACGAAACGGGTATTTTACTCCTTGTCGACTCGAACATCACAACAAAAACAAGATCCATTTAGTCCTATTCACTAACATACGAAGCGTCATCCCGAAACGCGACGAACTTCATGGCATCATAGAGGACAGCTCATCAGATATCGTTATCTTAACGGAAATATTGCTTAATCCCGGCATAGACGATAACGAGATTTTAACCTGTCATGCCCAATGGAATATTTTTCGTCATGATAGAAATGCGCGAAGAGGGGGTGGTGTGCTTATCGCCATAAAAAAAAGAACATTCCCTGCTTTGATGTCGAAGTCACAGATAGTAGCATTGAAATTTCCGCAGTATGTGTCTCTACCCCTTCAAACAAGATTAGTCTTGATGCGTGTTACAGGCCACCTGACTGTGTGATGACCCGTTTTCTGCCAAGCTGTCCTTCATTTTGGTTGACATTAAAACTCGCTTTCCCAAGGCAGATTTTTTACTGTTTGGTGATTTCAATTTCCCCCAGATTGACTGGGAAAGTTTATCATTCGAAGGGTGTCGCGCATCTGCAGATTTTCTTGATATGTGTCTCACGCTTAACCTGACGCAGGTTGTAAACGAGCCCACACGTTCGTCTAACATTCTCGGTCTCATATTAACTACATCTTCTGACCTCGTAAAGTCTATCCAACTCTCTGAAGGTTTAAGTGACCACAAAATGCTGCACTTATTCTTTCATTACCTGTTTTTGTGAAGAGTCCTAATTTCAAAACTATTCACGATTACAATAAAGCCAACTATGAAGACATAAATAACAAATTATCCATTTATTATGACACCTTCCAATCCAAGTTTTCACTAAGAACTATCGAAGAAATTTGGAATCTTTTCAAAGATAAAGTTCTTAACCTGGTGCAAAAATATATGCCTACTATACAAATTCGCACCGACTCATCTAACCCATGGTATAATAAAACATTAAGGTCATTATGTCACAAGAAAAAATGACTCTTCACCAAAGCTAAGCGAACTAACCTATCATGTGCATGGGACTCTTGCTACGTTGCTCTCAGAAACTACACGAAAGGCCTTAGAGCATCAAAAACAAAATTTTTCTCTCCAGATTTACCGACGATTTTGCTCAATAATCCTCAAGCTTCCGACAAAAGTTTGGAAGCCTGTCACCAAAAAGTAGTTCCAGGACCATTAATCTCACCAACCTCAACGAAGAACCAGTCGGAGAGTGACAGCCCCGAAGTGTTAAATGACTTCTTTTCTTCAATATTTACAAATAAACACCCATTAAATATTCCAACCTTATCTGAAAAGTGTTATGATCTTATGTCACCGGTCGCTATTAACACAACCGGAATAATTAAACTCATTGAAAAACTTAAACGTTCGTCTTCAGCAAACCCCGACCATATAAATGCAACATTTCTTAAAAATACAGCTCCTATATCCAGCAACTTTCTTAATCTCATCTTCAACCAGTTACTCTCCAAAAGCTGCCTACCCCTTGATTAAAAGATCGGTAAGATTGTCCCAATCTTCAAACAGGGAATTCGGTGTTTAGCCTCTAACTATCGTCCTATGTCTTTAACCTGCATATCGCCTAAACTTCTGGAGCACATCTTGTATTCACACATCATGACCCACTTGTCCTCAAACAATTTTGTCTTCAGATATCAGCATGGCTTGCGCAGGGGTTTCTCTTGCGAGACTCAGCTGAGCAAAATTGCTCACGAATTGCACACAAACCGTGAACGTCGTGTACAAACCGATGCCAGTTTACTGGACTTCTCAAAAGCGTTCGATCGTGTTCCTCACCAACGTCTTCTCTCCAAGCTATCATCTCTGCAATTAGACCCCTTAGTACCTTCCTGGATTAATCATTTTCTCGCATCTCGCGTTCAATACATAGTCACTAACGACCACGAATCAAGACTACCCTAGCAGCGCAGATGTCCTATACACATCCACAGGGCATCCCTGGAACGTTGGGACATCCTGAGGATATCCGGGGGACCATGTGTGCTGCTTGGGTAACGAGCGTTACGTCAGGGGTTCCACAAGGTTCCGTTCTTGGCCCCCTGCTTTTTTTAATCTTCATTAAAGATCTTCCCTGGGCCATCTCCTTAAAAAATCGGCTTTTTGCAGATGATTGTGTCATATGTAACAAGATTTCATCAGTAACAGACAACTTCCAACTTCAAAATGATCTAGAGAAAATTGGCCACTGGCGCAGAAAATGGTTGATGTCGCTAAATAAATCCAAGTGCAAATTAATCCAATTTACCAGAAAGCAGTCCCTGTTAGCATATCAGTACACCATAGACAACGATGTTATAGAACCCGTTTTCATGTACAAATATCTTGGCATCAGATTAACTACTAACTTTTCTTGGACAACCCACATTGAAACCATTTCTGATAAAGCATGGAAGTATCTTGGATTCATCAGACGAAACTTACGAGAGGCCCCTCCACACGTTCGACAAATGGCTTATGAAACGTACATTAGACCTAAACTAGAGTATGCAGCATCGACTTGGAACCCCCATCAATCATACGTTGTCGATACCTCAGAAACAATGCAAAACCGGGCGACTCGTTTCATCTTATCATCATATGATCGTTTCAACAGTATTTCTACGTTAAAAAATAAAAAATAAACTCGGTCTAACTCTTTTGCACTGCCGAAGGAAACTCTCCCGACTCTGCCTCCTTCACAGAATTTATCATCACTGCTCAGGCATCAAGGACTCACTGCTGTCCCCCCAGAAAGAATATCATCTCGCCTCAATAACTCCTGTGCTATCAAACGAATTTTCGGCAAGACCAATGCTTTTAATGAATCCTTTCTTCCTCTCGCCATTTCCGAATGAAACCAGTTGCCATCATCTATAGTTACCATTAACGACTCTACTGCGTTCCTAAGTGCCCTTCGAATCCATTTTATGCGAGTGTGCCATTTTGCTGTTTTATATTTTGTATAACTTTTACTACACTTTTTTTTTATTTCTTTGTATCATTTTCCATTTGTGCGTTTTTCTGTTGTTTCATGTTAATAAACTGCCCCCCCCCCCCTAATGAAACATCTGCAAGCAAGAGTTCATAACAAGAGGAAGCAGCATGGTCCATTTAGCATACATTGCGTTTGGTTTATTGGTCATTTTATTAAATTGCGCAACTTGCGTCAAATTTTTTATATTTCCGATCTAGTTCTTCGGCTGTCTCGTTTCCGCGCCTTGAATGTGACGTCCCTTGCCGGCTTCCTGTTTCTTTCCGCTTCCTCCTGCGAACCAATATATATATATATATATACATATATACAAAACGGGTTACGATACGGCTTCGGCCATAAAGTAGGCGTTTGTAGTCCGATCGCATCAATGAGGAGTGACTGCAGAATCATCGTCATATACGCCAGCACTACCCCATTTGGTAGAAGGCTGGAAGCATCGTTTTATTGCCTAAGGGGATATTCGGTAAAGGTTGTCATGAATGGGCTGTCAACTTGAGAAATCTCTGATGACCAATGACGTTGGAACAAAAAAGGCAGACGAGGGGCGTAGGGGCGGCGGGGGGTTGGGGGGCGGTGTTGTTTTGTTGTGATGACTGGAACTCGTCTGACTAGCGTGCTTAGCGTCCTATACCGCCACGCCTCAAAATCGGTTCCGAAGTGCCTGGTACTTCGGAACCACTTTTGATACGTGGGCGGACATGACATCACTGGCAGGGCCCGTCCTACCTGATCGGAACGATCATCAGAAATTTTTGAGAGTTCATCAAACGTTCTTGACGGCCCATCAGACCTTTTTGATGGCCCATCAGACTTTTTGATCGACCATCACATGTTCTTGGCAGCCCATCACAACTTCTTGACGGACCGTCACACCTTCTTTATGGTCCAACAGACATTATCGGATGGCCCATAAGACCCTCTGTCGTACCATCAAACTTCTTTGATGGTACGACAGGCTTGCTTGATGGTACGACAGGCTTACTGAAGATTTAGCAACACCTTTGTATGGGTCGTGGTTATGTAAAGTCAAGAAGATTGGAATTTGATCGCTTATGCCGCAGCTTATGGTTCCGGTTACTTTGACGTTGGTTGTAATATTGGTAATAAAAAGGCCAATTACATTTAATGTGGAGGTAGTGATTCTCGTGGGAGACGTGATAACATTTCGAAACCAGTTCGAGGGCAGCGTATTACTGAGTGTCTTAGTTTGGAAAGAGTTCTCTAGTATATTAACGTTTATATCACCTCCTAGGACCAGTGCAGTTATTTGCTGATACAAAAGAGATAAACATTTCGAAATCCGCCGAAGTTGGGCGGTACATGACAGCTCTGATATTAACCCCAGATTTTAAGTTTAAGATCTGATAATCGCTCTTAGTTCGAGTAAAAATATCCAACAGCTCACATTTAATTGAAGATTTCACGTGAATTGAACACCGCCGCGTTTATGCTTACACGGTTTAAAAAAAAATGTGTGTAATCCGGCAGAACGAGCATATCAGCATCCTGCTGATCCCAGGTTTCCATGAACATTATAATATCGAATGATACGCAGCACTGCACTGATCTAGAAATGATATAATACAGTCATATGTTTATTTGCTGCAGAAGGCGTGTTCAAGTGAAAGATATGAGTACAATTTTGGGAAGACAAGAACTGACTCAGTTCTTCCGGCAATACAAGTTCCAGGAAGTCCATAAAAAATAAAGGAAAAAAAGAAAAAAAAGACTGTACAAGATAGAGCAGCTAAATTAGCAGATGTTTCCAACATCAGCCTCATTGGTTATCGGAACAAGTGGTGTTCTATCTGCTTGACAATAAAAAAGTGAAAGCTGCTTACAACTCCCTGTAACGCCGAATTAGAGCGCAGCTCTTAAAGGAGGAGGTGGGAAGGGCACTGGGGGGGGGGGGGGTTAAACTAACCAGGGGGTGGTCACATGACCTTGGGGGTCACGTGACCCCCAATGCCGATGATGTCATCACTGAGGTCACTGATGACGTCATCATTGACGATCACGATGCGGGTACCGATGACGTCATTAGTGACGTCACTGATGACTTCACCAGTGATGATGACGATGACGTCATCAGTGACGTCGCTGATGACGTCATCAGTGATGATGACGATGACGATGCGGATGTCGGTAACGTCATCAGTGATGATGACGATGACGATGCGGATGCCGGTGACGTCATCAGTGATGATGACGATGACGATGCGGATGCCGGTGACGTCATCAGTGACGATGACGATGACGATGTGGATACCAGTGACGACATCAGTGACGATGACGATGACGTCATCAGTGATGATGACGATGTGGATGCCGGTGACGTCATCAGTGACGATGACGTCATTGGGGGTCACGCGACATCGGCGGGGGTCACGTGACCTCAGGGGAGTCACGTGACTTCGGGGGGTCACGTGACCTCGGGGGGGTCACGTGCCCCCCACGAGGTCACATGACCCCGGTGGGGGGCTCGCGCGGTGCATTATGGGACATTTCCCATGATGCACCGGGGTCACGTGACCTCGGGGGGTCACGTGCCCCCCACGAGGTCACGTGACCCCGGTGGGGGGCTCGCGCGGTGCACTATGGCACATTTCCTATGATGCACCGCGCGGTTACGCCGACGGCGACGCCGACGCCGCTCAAGCCGAAAACGGGCCCCTAAGAGCTGCGCTCTAAAAATCTTGCCATTTCGAACCAAGACATACTTCCAATTACATTGATGCATTTTGGCAATCGCTTTTCCAAGAACCTGCTTCAGAGATGGGCATAAGTATTCGAACATAAAAGCATCCGCGCGTAAGGCCAAGATCCGAGTTCTTAATGCGCTTCTTTTTTGCTTTATCAAGGACGCCATCACGCCTGCTGCGGTTTACAAATTGCAGAAGAATGTTAGTTTCTGGTTGGTGTATGTCCTATACATGTCTTGGTGTATATCCTATACACTGTTTCACTTCAAGTCCGACTGCAGCGAGTCTACCATCCAATGAAACCAATCAGGTAGTTCCAAAAGTGCATCGTCACTGTGCTCATCGCCTTTGTTCCTTTGATAAATCATCGACTAACAAACCACGCACGAAAACATATGAACGCAGGATCGCGGCGCACTAACTCTGGGTGATTGGTTCAGTCTGTGATACCAAACGCACAAAGACAAGTGCAGTGTCGTGACGGTGCACTTTTGGTGCTGCTTGATTGGCTTCATCGGATCTTATAGCGTTGGCTGTGCACATAGACTGAATGGGAAACGAAGCATGGACGTTTGCAAATGCGGCCTATTGGAGCCGCCATCTTGCCGCTGGTGTTGGTAATCGTCTGATAGTCGAGCATTGCTGAGGCCATGGGTATACGCCTCAACAATGCACGACTATCAGACTATCTGCCCACACCAGCGACAAGATGGCGGCGCCCAGAGGCAGTACTTGCAAACGCCTACACTTACACGTGTCAAGCGCTGCTTTGACGGGTGAACCTTACGCTTTTGAGAAGCTGGTAGCTGGGCTGACTGTTCCTCAAGACCCGCTCCCTGCACAGTAGGAAGGGCCAGATGAAGAAGTAGAAGGTGTTCAGGAAAAACTCGGCAGTGTAGCCGATGACTCGGGTGCGACGTTTCCTGGAATGCGAGTTTATTTTTATTTTATTTTTTACTGCAGCACAAAGGACACTTTATGCTAAAAGAGTGGTGGAAGCTATCGTCAAAGCCTTCAGTGTTGTTTTTGGTTTTATAACCTCCCGAAAGAAACAAAAGGGAGGAGGTGACAGAGAGCAGGCAAAGAGAAAACCTAGGCGTGCTTTTGCGTGGTTAATGTCCTCACCGAAAACATAGGCCCGCTCTGCAACGTTCACGCTTTTTGAGGGACGCGCATGCTTTTGGATAGCCCTTAGATCCTCTTATTAATGTGCGAACTCAATCTATCTTCTCTAACTATACTAGAAAACCGAAAATTACAATCACGAGTGACCGGTTTCGCCCTTACAATTGCGACGAAACACCATGACACCCCCGCTCCCTTTTAATATTCAGGTTTGAACTCTGGGCCTTCCAGTGTCCGGTAGGGTGTGCTAAGTTCTAACCCCCCCCCCTCCTCCCTCCCTTTGAAATCCCAGCAGACCCTATAATATACACATGCATTTTGAACCGCCCCCCCCCCTTAAGAAAAAGATATATATATATATATATATATATATATATATATATATATATATATATATATATATATATATATATATATATTCCTGGTTAACGCCACTGCGCCAGGGTCGCGACTGGCAACAGCATGACATAACTTCACTAGAAGCTTTGTATCAGTTGCAGAGCTCGCGCTTTGTTGCCGAGCCAAAAAAGTTCTGGGTCGAACCCAAGTCGACGCTAGCGCTTCGAGTGGCTGACTGAGCATCAACAGCGACGTTGGCTGCACTCGGCTTCGTCAGCTCCGCGTTCGAGCCTTTGCGTGTTCCGGATCTGCACAGTACTGACAGCGTCATGCAGATGCGGCCGTGGCGGCTTCCGCGCGATATTTCGCATGTTTACCTTCGCATCGATTGAATATGTATGCAGCTTGTGAAGTATCGTTCAGCAAAACAATCTTTTTTGAATTTAAGAAATACGAGAGAATAAAACGTGTAAGGACGAACACAGACAGGATACAGTCCTTTCAACTGGAAACCGACATTTAATGATGCCACACTCCACGTGTTAGCAATTTCCCAGGGCCAGCCCTAGGAGTGGGCGACCTGGGCGGGCGGTCGCCCAGGGCCCCGAGAAAAGGGGGGCGCCGCCGCGCCCCCCTTTGTAAATTTTCTTTAGTTTTTTTTTAAATTTTATTTTAACGCGGCGCCCGACATAATTCTATATGCTTGATCGCCGTTCGTTTTTGGAATGCGGTTCTCTTCTGACAAAACTCTCGTGTTGTGCCATTACTCAGATGTTTACTAACAACGTGATGTTGTACCTACTAGATAGGGGCGTGTAAAAAAAAAATGGGGGGGGGGGGCGGAGGGGGGGAAGGGGGGAAAGGGGGGGAACCACGTTTGGAGTTTGCCCAGGGCGCTCAATGGTGCAGGGCCGACCCTGGCCCTTCCCTTTTCTGACCACAAATTCCTTCAGAAAAAGAAGAAAATTTTCGGAAAAAAAAAGAAACGGGAAGAAGAGAAAAAGAAGAACGTAAGTGAACTTTTCTTCTTAAAGTTAGTAGATAGATTAGTGGTTATGCCGACGTGTTGTGTACCCGAGTGTACGACCGCGGTTACAAGAGCAATAAAGAAGAACGGCACTTTTTTAAACCGCCAGCAGACGCAAAAAAAGAAAAAAAAAAGAAACAAGCTGAGGACCGCGTTATACTGCGCACAGGCAAGCCCCTCTCGGCAGGTTACCATGTGTGTGATCTCCACTTTAACAGCGAGGATGTTCTGACAGTTCACAAACACAAAAATAGGCAATGACAATGTGGAATTACCGCGAGAAAGATGCGAGTTCGTATATATATATATATATAAAGAGATATATTGCCTCGCACCTTTAATTGTGAGCGCTTGATCGACAAATCAAACTACAAGTGCATCTTTTTTTTTCATATTTTTGCTGGAGGTTTTTGTTGGGTGCGGGGGGAAGACGCGGTCATATTTTTTCTTTGAAGTGTAGAAAAGCAGGGCTAAGTGGACGCACGTTTTGGGATGCACGGGGTACCCTTCGAAGTCGTGCTGCACGGGATACTTGATGATGTCGCTCTCGTAGTAACGACTCAGCCGTTTCTTCCCGTAAAGGCAGGGCCGAATGCCGAAGTTGGCGACGGCCGTGTAGCCGGAGGCGCCGAGGCAAGCCTTTACAAAACCTACGTCGAAAAGAAAAAAAAGGGATTTAGAAATCAAAGATTTCACGAAGTCCTCGCTACCCTGCAGCCATATCTCTAACGGATCGCCGTATTTTTGGAAAGGAGCGCACGATTATTGAACATGGCCGGCGAGGCCGACGAGACAAGTCACGTTACGATTCTCATTCCCTCTCCTCCTCGCTACGTTCGGTCGAGCTGGTGAACCGAAGCGAGGCCGCTTCCCCTCATTCTCAAATTCGCCAGGAGGTCAATGACGTCATAGACCTCGCTTGATCGCGCCCTTGTCTCCCAAAAGTACGGCCATCCGTTTAAGATATCGAAATATGGGTGATGCTTTCGAGTTCATAGCGTCCCGTTCAGCGCTTCTGCAGCCGTATTTTGTCAAATTTCGGTTGGTGAAGCATATACTCAGGGAGCTCGCAGCGTGTGGGTAACGTGGGAAAGAGATTTTTGTAACAGGCTATGTATATCCTTTTATGTTGTGAGTTTCCTTTCTCTTCAAGCCCTCCAAGTTCACTTGGTAACTTCGCAAGATCAAGGGAGATCCCTGTGAGCGCTCACCGGCTGCCATGAGAACGAGAACCAGAGTCAGCAGAAGGCCCACACTTCCAATGAGACCGGGAACATCGCTGGATCGGGCTGAACGGCTCTTGTAGATGCCCGCCTTGACTGCGTCGGCCTCGTTGATAAGGCGACACTCGAGGCTCTCGTTGCCACACTAGCGTGAATGCAGAAAGAGTGGACTCCACGTCACGGGTAAGGTTTTTGGCACTCGCCTCTCGTCAGCCCGAGCCCATATCCAGGCACAAGAAGAAAATTATGTAACAATTCAAACAACGAGAATAATACCCCTGTCAGACGGGAAAGTAAATGTCATTTTGATCGAATGTCATTCACCGCTCGGCGAATCAGCTCGTGATGCTGGTTCTGCACACGGCGGGCGCACGCGCAGCGTGGCGTATTAAACACGCGGATTGGTCGAGCTGTAATGTCATTTTGCTTAAATGTCATTTAACGTGCCCGTCTGACGGGGGTATTAGACCAAGAGCAAGTGCGGTAGAAGAAAGAGTAAACCACGTCATCACGCATAGTACTACCACTACCTGAATACGTCAGCGACGTGGTCTTGATTAGGGGGCTGGGCCTAACTTGTACGAGGTTGCAGACCAGAAACATCAAGCATCTACGAGCTTTTGTGGTCGTGATTAAGATGAGTGTGTAAGTGTTCGTGTGTATGTGTGTGGGAGGGGGGGGGGGGAGACAATCTTTGTAGCGATTATTTTCGGACGTAAAAACAACCTGCTCTGGATGAACCTTGAACATTTTCTGCCCAATATTTATGTTACAATACGAAATTCTTGATTTGAGGGCGAAAATGAAATTGTACCTTAGTGGGATGATGATAGCATTTGTACCCAACTAGTGTGCGCTCCAGGTTCACTGGACGTCAAAGCGCAGTTTAGTTGGGTACAAACGCAATTATCATCATCCCACAAGGGTACAAGTTCGGTTTCGCCTGGATATCGAAAACTTCGCCTTGTAACATAAATGTGTTTTTTTCGGCGAAAAATTATTTTGGGACACGCATGCCCTAACCATGTAGACAGTTTTTTTGTTCTTAGGTTCAGTGTTTCTTGTAAGCCTGAGCGAAGTCAAAGGTTAGAAGGCACTCAGAAGTGCAGCGTCGCAGCGTCTTCATGGCGCCTGATTGGTTTAACCGATGATAACAGACGACACAGAGAGCGCAATGCTGTTGCGTTTATGGCATCGTTTCGTGTCGAAAAACAAAGTTAGATAGAGGTAAATCAGCAAAGATTTCGATATCTATCAAAAACAAAGCACTTTAGAGGAATCTTTTAATTATTCATGAGCGTCGAAAGCCCCACTATACTCGTTTTCACCTCAAGAAAAAAGGAAGTTTTGCGCATTGTTCATACGCCGCAAGAAGTAGTTCCCACAAGAGTTGGCTGTCAGAGGAAGAAGCGGTGCTTTTATTGTTTGAAACGTGCACGCCTTGATAAGATAACATATATATAATAAAAGCAAAAAACAAAAAAACACCACAATTTATCTTGATTATCTACACAAAGGGGGAATTTAGTCATTCTCCGCAAGGGACCGGACATTTTTTTACTGCGTTTATTGTGGTGAAAACGAGTATATAGTCTAAAGAGCTATTTCCTTCTTTTCTTTCTCTCTTTCAGACGGTAAAATGAAGGCAGAGGCGGTACGCACGCTGCATTGGCAGGAGAGGTAGCAGAAGCACTGCTTGCCTGGTCGAAGAGTCACCAGGCGGGAAGCGATCATGCCGAATTCAGAGTCATGCAGTTCCACTACACAGAGATAAAACAGACGCATCTGCTCTTTGAGTCCAACAAAAGGGTGGGAATTCGACATCCAGCATATATTTTATTAGCCACTCCAAATCCCGGCCGATGCTTTCTGGTCTTCAATGTTTTCACAATTTGATCGCACGAAGCAGTGCCTGGATGCACCATGATATGACCATCACGGGCGCTGCGTTGAAGCGCCGAACTACGCTTCCATGTAGATCAGCTTAAAGCACAACGATGGCGACGTGTGAGATTCTAAATCCCTGGATAGCTCTCACACTAAGCGGTAGTCCATCTGACGAAAAGAACCTTCGAGATCTAAGAGCTGCCGCTCAAATTGCATTTGCCGCGCTAGAACAAGAAAGTCGCCCCGTGGCCTGTGCTTTTAGAAGTCAACGGGTGTATACTGCACCGTAATACACACACAAGTGAGAACATCAAACGCTAATATTGCTGTTTTTTTTTTATTTGAGCAGATGAGAAAGGTGTCTCCGGTGCTTCAACGACCATGCGTTCTCCGCGTTAAAGGGCAACTCTGCTTCATTTTTGATATTTAGAAAACTATGTAGCCCTCTTCAGTATCATATAGGAAGACCCCATGTCAAATATTACGATCTAATTCCGTTTATATATTTAATAAACTGGCCAGCAAACCTTCAAGCGAGCCAAGTCGCCGAAATCCGCCAACTCTAGCGTGCGGCGCGAGGCGCAAACATCAGCGCAGTCAATGCCACAGAGTTGGAGCGGCCAACGTTGAACCACTACGTCAGAGGCATGACTACGTCATTCTCACGTTTTGCTTGTTTTTACTTCTCAGAGCGAAATTGAACGATGACGTCATGAGTTTCTCCTCCCGGTGTTGGCTGACCGGGCGTTGACGTGATCACCGTAACACGGATGCGCTAGTTTGCCCTGCCCTGCGCGCTTATCGGTCGGTTTCTCCGCTCCCCTTCTCCTCTTTCGTCTTCTCCCCTCCCCCTCTCCCCCGGGCCATCACCATCCACGCCATGCGAAGCGACCTGCCCGCGTCCAATAAAAAAAAAAAGAAGAAAAACGACCTGCCCGGCGTCGCGTGTTCTGTTTCTCGCTCCCTCCCGAACGTCACAAGACCACGTGGTTCGACGTGACGTGGCCATGACTCTGACGACCCGAGACCAATGTTGCCTGACGCAACCGAAGTTTCGGTTTCGGTATCTGCTATTAGGATTACACAAATAATATTCCACATTTCGCGAATCCGAAGACGTAGAGTTGTTTAGTAGTGCTTTGTGAATGTGAATCACATGGAAGCCTAAATTTTTCGAAATTCAGCGGAGTTGCCCTTTACTAAAAAAGAATACTGCCTGGACACCGGAGCCCGACCCGCTCGCTCTTGTTGGCTAATCTGACTACGACAAAGCCAATTATTGGTATTTTGAGTCCATTGCGGTGAAGTATTGACAGTTCCAAGAACATTGATAAAGTCTCCTTTCCCCTGTTTCCCATCACGGCCGCTAGCCCGCGCAAGTTGTCGCTGCATACTTGTATAGACCCTATTCCCCTCCCTCATGTCTTTTCGCTAGATGGCGTTGCCTCCTCGTGAGTTGTGTATAGTGTGCCAAATATCTGAAGGCCCGTTCACACACTCGCGTTTGACCACGACTGACTGAGACAAAAACTGTTTTGAAGTCCCTTGCAACGGCTTACTACCCGCAGCCGGTCGTTAACCGTCGCAAGAGCCTTAAAGGGGCCCTGCAATGACTTTTTGACTGGTCTTTAATTTGCACTGAACCTGAGCGTACTGAACGTAGTAACTTAATCCAACTTTTCTTTTCTCAAATTTCGCTTTATTTTAAAAGTTATAGGCAAATTAGAATTACAAAAACAAGCAAAAAATAACCTCCTTCATGACGTCGTAGGTCCTGGCTTGAGTGGCCTTGAACTAGAGGAGGAGTAGAGCGCACACGGCTGCCGCACTCCGTGTCGACGGCTCGAGAGGGCGCCACTAAAGCACGTGTTGGATAGGCTGTATGAAGCGGGCTGCCAGGGCAGCTCGCATTGCATTTGCAGCGCGACTAAACACTTATTCGGCATAACATTTCATTGGCCACAAACGACAGCAAACACGGGGTAAATATCAGTTCAGAACGGGAGCCACTTCGCGCTGACGCACCGCCAAAGCGCCAAATCGCCAGCAGGGCCCGCGCCGAAGGCCTTCGGAACGCTCGGAACCGGTCGGATTCTTGAGCCGGTATACGACCACAGCGCCGCCACGTACATCCGGGACCTTCTACGCTCCTCGTTTGTCGTAGCCTCATCCCACTAGCCTTTTCTAGTATGCGCCGTTTTTTTCCGCCGCTTGGTGGCGGGTATGTCGACGGGTCATTTCTCGTTTCCGTACTTTCTAAACCGCATTTGTTTCTTTTCTGATCTAAAATAGTGAACAAAAACTACTTTCATACATAATTCAAACGTTTCGCGACTCTTATATTTTGTATCTCGACTAAAAAAAAGCTCTTAGCGGCTTTGACCAGTGTCAAGCCCAGGACCAAAGACGTCACATTTTGCGCGCTTTCGGTACCGCGGGTCGCCCTCGTCGGTGGAGGAGGTTTCCGCGCCGCCCGGTTAAAATATGACGCACTGATATTTGGTTACCCTCTCCCTGCCCGCTGGCTTGCCCCAACCCCAAGAGACGTGGAAACCGCAAAAAAGGTAGACGCTTAAATATGATTGCAGGGCCCCTTTAAAAACTCGGTCTTGTCTCAGTTGGTCACATTAAAACGCGAGTGCTACCTCGAGAGTATTTCCAACTGCTCGATCGCGGTCAAGTGGTTAATAGACCGCGTTTGCGATGCAAGGTGCAAGGAAGAGGCCGACCGGTCGTCTGCAATCGTCTTCAAGCTTTGCCCTATAGCGTCCCCGCCCGTTATCCTCCTTGTTCCACGGAGGGGCACACACGCGCCTAAGTAACCAATCTACGCAGGAAATGTCCGCCGTCAAATTTCAACTGCTCGTTGTCGTCTGCCTTTCTTCCTCGCTTAAATTCAAGCTCTCTCTCTCTGCAGTCACACCGAGCCCGAGCGCAGGCGACGCTACCGTCCAAACGAGCCAACGAAGGCAGCGCCGAAAGTGCACCGTCCCGCTGCTCGTCTCTTTTGCTTTGGCTTTTGTGCGTCTCCTATCAACGGCTTAGTCAATCACGCACAATAAATGCAACATGATCCTGATCTTGCTTTTTTTTTTTTTAAGCATGAAAGATTTTTTAACGCTATCCCCTAATCCTAAAATTTTGTCCGTCCGTCCGTGCATTTTCCGCTAAATTTAGCGGGGGAAACTGAGGTCACGTGTCCTGTACACGAATTCAGTTGCCCCGCTAAATTTAGCGGGAAAATTGATGTCACATGACCTAACATCACGAGACCTAAGTACCAATTTAGTTCCTCCGCGGTCGTTATATCGGGGATTTGATCAAAATAATGGTTTTCACTCCCAGCCGAAAAGAAGGCTTCATGTGTTCTAAATTATTTTAAAACATTAGACCTTAAATACTACATTTCATACCTTATAGGGCTTTAAAGGTAAATATCGCTTCCAATTTTATTATTATTTTTTTTTCTTTTGTGCGGGATTGGTATACACCAACACAAGCAATCCCGCTTTGCCCGCACCAGGTGTGGGCACTGCGCATGCGCAGAAACTACATTCGGGAGGAGCGAAGCGCCTGCGCATGCGCTGTGGCGACAGCAGCGCCACCGCAGCCGCGTGACGTCGGTGAGTTCAGTTGGTCTATAGCTGGGCACATAGCAAACGCCCAAAGACGACTAGCGCCATGACGATGCACTTTGCATCGACATGGCGATGCATGACGATGCACTTGTACCCAATCGAAACGGCTGCGCTGGGGCTTGGTGTGAAACGGAGTACTGGGTCGAGACCGGTTAGTATTACGAAGTGAACGGGAATTGGAAATGCAGTGCTTGAAGTCTCCAGGAAGTTGAGGGGGTCCCTACAAGAAGGGGGGAGGGCCGGAAGGGGGGGGGGGGGGGGTTCTAACGAAATGTATTAGATGCACATGAAATAAAACCCACTGCTGGCTTCGTCCCCGCCGTACCTGCAACCCTCAAATTGCTAATCCCCAAATGTCACAACCCTGAAAAGAAGCTATTTTATTGCAAGATATGATTTTGATTTCACTAATGATTCGATATATCCGGTATTTTGTTATAACCGACTTCAGTTATAATAAAGTGCACAAGGGAATGGGAAATCATGATCGCTTCGCTATATCAGCTATTTCGCTATAAGCGACTTCGGTTATAACGAAGTGCAAAAGGAAATGGGAAATCGTGATCACTTCGCTGCAGCCGCTATTTCGTTATAACTTATAAGCGACTTCGGTTATAACGAAGTGCAAAAGGGAATGGGAAATTGTGACCGCTTCGCTGCAGCCGCTATTTCGTTGTAACCACTTCGTTATACCCGGTCTCGACAGTAGCGTTTTGCGCCATCTATGGGTATGTGGAGAATTCAGCTCGCACACGCCTTTTGCACGCCTGAAAGGGCCCTGCTGGGAAGCTGGAAAGCAAGGAGCTTGCCCACCGGTGCACCTGACGTCCTCGCGAATGTCCAGCGTGCCGAACTGGACGACGAACAGCAGGAGGATGGAACGTCGGGGCCTGACCGGAGCCGAGCTGGTGTCGCTGTTGGAGACGCCGTGTGTGCACTGGGTCACGAGAGCCGTGAAGATGGCCGGCGTGTCGCCCACATTGTGCGCCTCCACGCGCACCACGGACGACGAGAACGAGCTGCGAGTGGACACCACGTTGATGCGCCCGTTCGTCCTGGACACCAGAGCGAGCATATATAAATGCACGAGGCACTATAAGCTCCTTCCCTGATGTGAGAACCGAACTGGAAGAAATACTGCCCATTTCTTTTTTAAACAATCACTCGCCAACGGGCCCTGCAAAGTCCACCGGCCATGATTCTGTAGGTTTTTTTTTTCTTTTTTTCGCAAGCGTGAAATCCATGTCATTAAACAGATCGTGTACTTCGGGTCAGTCAAAAACTGTAATGTAACATTTGAACAAAACTAGATCGCCAATTAGTCGGCAGAAAAAGTAGCCCATACGTATCAGTATCACTCACTCTAACCGTTTTGCCTCAGAGTACGAAACGTTTGATACCTGTGAACATATCGCCTGCCCTTCCCCGCCCCCCTCCCCTTCCCTCCCAGGCTCCACACACACAAAACAAGAGAAGACACAAAAAACTAAACCGTACGGCTTTAACACTTTTGAAGGATAGAAATATGGAACATGTTTCGATCGCCATATGCTTGTCCCCAGGAACATTTACGAAAGTGAACGCCTTCTTTTTCAGAACATTATCTTCTCTTGTGAGAAATGTGATGTTCAACTGGTTACAATAAGGTCTAAGCTTTCGCTTTCAAGACGCCTACCCTTGCTTGAACAGCGTGATGTTCTCCGCGTTGATTTCGAGCAGGATCAGGCTCAGGTGGGAGTGGGCGTGGAAGAACGCCAGGAAGTGCTCCCCACTCGTCTCGTTGAACAGGATGGGCGACTCTGGCAGCTGCTTCTTGTACGAGCTCAGAAGCAAGGGCGGGAACTCGCCGGTCCTCCTCTTTTCCTGCGCACAAAAGACGTGCCTGGACCCTCCCGTACTGGAAGGGAAACAAACCCTCTTCGGGAACTTTTACATCGACCAGCAACAGCTTTCCCCTTGAGGGAGTTCAGCAATTGAAACGCGGTATAATTGGTTCACGAACGACGCATTGTTCAAAATTAACACGATTATTCTCTTCTTTTTTTTTTTTTTTTGTTCATAGATACAGTTTTATTCGTGTTGTCGGAACCTTGTTATTGCATTCTTATTCACCTTCATGAAACACGCATCGAAATTAAACCTCCTAGAGTTTGTGTATGAAAAATCTGTTTTCATCCAGACGCTGTTCTAGACAATCAAACTCTGAACAGCAATAACTGATCTTTCTTGTCAGTCCAGCCAATCAGAAAGGCAGCTGGTACCAAATGATCCAGTGGTCAGGCAGTTTTAGTCGTGAAAGAGATGGACGTCTTTTTTTTCAATTTTGAGACTTCATGGTCACGAGACTGATAGACCTTATGACTAACCGAGACGGATAAAAGGAAGGTTAATGATAAGTGCATCGCGAGTGCATCAGGAACCTCTTTCTGGGAGCATCGGAGGGTATAGAACAAGTACCTTATAGAGTCAATGACAGTTTAATGAACGCTAGGCGTGGGGTGTTGTGTTCACTCTTCTTGCGTCCTGCTTGCGTTTGCTTAGGACCGAGCTCTTGCGATCTCTTATGATAAGAGAACGTATACACTGGCACCATCGACCATGAGACACCATGGAACACTTGACACAACCGTATATTTCCTTTTTTTCGCATTATTATTATTATTTTTTTCTTTTGGTTTGAAAATTGTTTGGCAATGTTATCAACGATCATTTCCCATAGATGGACGCTTGACCTCGCAAAAACCGCAAAACCTTCGCGCTGGTGAAATGCCCTTCCAGGGTCCCTCGCATAGATGGCGCCTGTGTTCTCCCGTCGTAAGGAAGCACTTAAAGGCCGACGAAAAACCTCGGTTTTCTGCAGGGAAGATAATATCCTTAGCGCTCCCCTCTCCTAAGCTGCGAGGAGAGAGAGAGAGAAAACCTTTATTTTCGCTCCAAGTCCGGAGCTCCCTGCAAGGAGAGCCAAGTTGGGCCAAGGTAAAAAAAGTGGAGAGGTTTACTTACGTCTTCTCTTAAAAATATGTCGTAGGGTTCTTTTTCAAAGCATCTAAACAAAAACCACGAAAAAAGTCCTGATAACGTTTTAGGTGAGTAAGATCCATGAGCGTGCGCACGGTTTAAAGGGATGCTGAGCCAAACATTTCATTGTCTATAAAAGGTGGCGCACTATCTTTCCATGAGACAGCAGCCGCCGGTGTGCGCGAGCACACGCAACGAAAATGACGTCATCATATCCCCCATTCATGCTTAGTAAGCTTGAATGGGAGATTTCATGACGTCAATTTTGCTGCGTGTGCTCGCGCACACCGGCGGCTGCTGACTCATAGAAAGGTAGTGCGCCACCTTTTATAGACAATGAAATGTTTGGTTCAGGATCCTTTTAAGGTGAATGTCAACACAGTGTTCCGCTTACATCGTTAACACATATATTTATATATCACTGGCGAAAAAGTGATACATATATATATATATATATATATATGGTGGCGGGAGGCCGATGGCGTGGGTATAAAACTGAGAAGAACAAACCCTTAGTGAAAACCCTTAGTGAAAAACAGTGAAAAACAAAAACCCTTAGTGAAAAACAGCAACAACGGACGATTTAATCGTCCGTGGTTGCTGTTTTTCACTAAGGGTTTTTTTCTTCTCAGTTTTATATATATATATACATATATATATATGGTGGCGGGAGGCCGAAGGCGTGGGTATAAAACTGAGAAGAACAAACCCTTAGTGAAAACCCTTAGTGAAAACCCTTAGTGAAAAACAGTGAAAAAAAGTGAAAGCCGTTTACAAATCCCTGTAACGCCGAATTGGAGCGCAGCTCTTGAGGAGGAGGAGTGAAGGGTACTGAGGGGAGGGTAGACCCCTCCTCCTCCACTCATTCTTTAATATGCTCCGGGGGGGGCGGTCACGTGACCTCGGGGGGGGGGGGGTGTCACGTGACTTCGGGGAGGGGGGTCACGTGACCTCGGGGGGTCACGTGACCTCAGAGGGGTCTCGGGGGGTCACGTGACCTCAGAGGGGTCACGTGACCTCAGAGGGGTCACGTGACCTGGGGGTCACGTGGGGGTCACCTTGGGGTCACGTGACCTTGAGATGACCTTGGGAGGGGTCACGTGACCTTGGGGAGGAGACCACGTGACCTCGGGGGTCATGTGACCTCAGAGGGGTCACGTGACTTGGGGGTCACGTGACCTTCAAAGGGTCACGTGGGATCTTGGGGTCACGTGACCTTGAGATGACCTTGGGAGGGGTCACGTGACCTCGAGGGGTCACGTGACCTTGGGAGTCACGTGGGGTCGCGTGACCTTGAGATGACCTTGGGAGGGGTCACGTGACCTGGAGGGGTCACGTGACCTTGGGGGTCACGTGACCTTGGGATGACCTTGGTTACGCCGACGGCGACGCCGACGGCGACGGCGACGCCGCTCAAGCCGGGAACGGGCCCCTAAGAGCTGCGCTCTAAAACAAAAACCCTTAGTGAAAAACAGGAACAACGGACGATTTAATCGTCCGTTGTTGCTGTTTTTCACTAAGGGTTTTTTTCTTCTCAGTTTTATATATATATACATATATATATATATATTACACTTTATTTAAAAAGTTGCTTCATGGTAACTTATTATTGAATAGATGATATCGCCGTGCAACCGAAGCATGAAACATGAATCGCCACTTTCGAGGCGGCTTATTATTGAAGCGACCGGAACAATTGATGAGTTTTGGTTTTGTCTCACGTCACAGCTTCAGACAAAACAACGCTCTTTAGTCTCGTTCACACACTTGCGAGTACTTACGACCGAGTGCGTTAAAACCGCTTGTAATGTCTTACGACCAGAGAGCACACTGGCACCATCTTTCGTGTAGCCGTTGAACACTTCTGATTTCCGAGTAGTTTCCACTTTTTTAGGGCATCATTTTTTACTGCCTTGAAAAATGTTGGACAATCTTATAAACTTCTATTTTTCACAAATAGTGCGCACACCTGATGTCGCAAATACCGCAGTACCTTCGCACTAGTGAAATGCAATTCCCGGGTCAGCTTATAGATGGCGCCAGTGTGCCAGCGTGTTCACTCGTCATAAGGGATCACAAGAACTCGGTCATAAGCAAACGCAAGTATGTGAGCGCGTACTTTGTTATATGTAAAAAGAAAAGAAGATACTTTGGTAGGATAAGTGATTCACCTCTTGTTCATGGGGTGGCAGTGGTCCGCCATGTTGAAAAGCGAGAGATCATTGATGCATTCCAGGACGTCGCTCGATTTGGTCATGTTGTTCGGAATGAGCATTATGTTGTCTGAGCCGCCCTTCGCTTTCCCAAAGACAGAAAACACTGTGTTCATTTGGAGTCAGACAGACAACGTGGAATCGGGACAAATTTCTGAGCAAAATAATAATTGCCGGTATTGAAAGAAGATATACTATATGACGTGAAATACTGCACCAAAAATGTTAGGAATATATATATATTTAAAAAGATTTGAAATATAAAGAGTATAGTGCTTGATAATGTGCTGTGACTTTGTGTTTTGAATGTATCTTTTGCTTTTTTATCCCTCCGGGTGAATCACTTTAAGTGTCACTGCATAATTGTTCTTTTACATGTTGTATGTATTACCACTCCTGTAAAGGCCTTGTAAAGGGCCGACAGTATGAATAAATAAATCATTTGTTTACGTAACCAGAAAATTATGAAACTTGTTTATTTTTCTTTTAACATTCAATAACGGCAGAACAAAAAACGTTGTAATTCATATCCTCTTCGCCGACAAAGAGTTACTTTAAAAAAAAGAAAAAGATATGTTCTTGAAAGGTACTTCGACACCGCAAGAGCTCCTTTAGCTCTTGAAGAACGGTTTCGGCTCAAGCACTTGCGCGCTAGAAAGGCAACTAGGCGGTGAAGAACTTATTCGCATAAAAGAAAATAGATTAAAAGAACTCATTGTAGGTTTTTCACGAAGCCCTTTTAGGCGGATACTGGAAAAATCGTTTTAGGGTGGAAAAGATGGACAAGCCAAAGAACTTTTGAGAGTCCTTTTAAGACCAGATTTGGCTTTTTCAGAGTGCAACGGAACTAATGGTGTAATGGTATACACTGGATGTCATGTTTGAGTGCGTTGCTTAAAGCGCATGCTCCGAAAGAACTCCGAGTTACTGTACGCCAAGAAAATATACCTTCATTGGGCGAAATGCGCCATCAACGTGCACTGGAGTCAATCGAAGTTGTTGATTTTGGCCGACGACAAACGGGAGCTAATTCTGAGCGTGAGTTACGACAACTCGCTCAAGCCTGGCTCATTGAGCTCATGCATCTTTCTTCGTGATTTGTTTTACGGCGTTTTTATTATCAAATTTCATAATCTCATTGAAGACAATATTAAAATGTAGAAACATAAAACGTTTTTTTTCTTTTTGCCCAGTCGATTAATTGCAAGGGTATGAACCCCGCACGAATAGCGTTACGTCCAAGATGTTTGTGTGGATCTTGAAAATACCTAATGCATACTAATACTACAGTACCGTAAGATGTTTCGAGGTAATAAACATATATATGTGCAAAAAATGTGTATGAGGGGGCACTCACAGCGAATACGGACGACATTTCATTCACGGGCACTCCCGGATTAGGGTACGGGATCAGCGCCCTCAATGTCTTGTAGTCTTTGAGTACGAACTCTGCCTCGGGTGCTTTCTCTGACAAGTAACTGGCAGCAACCTGCGGTATGAAGGGCAGAGGGTACGGGATGTGAACGAGGAAGTAGGTGCCGTTAGACGTTACAAATGGTTACCTCTTTTGGCCTAACTTCATGAGCGCGCACGAAGCCAGTATAGACGCATGATGGCATGTAGTCATTTGTTTTTAATTAAGGATACTCTAAATATAGATCTTAAGTTCCAGTCAGATCCAAATGTGTTTTTATATTTAGACAAGTTGTTAGCTCATACAATTATTAATTAAGGCAAGGGTCCTGAGGTTTTTAAATGTAACCATTAAAGGGACTTCTTGGTAATTAACGTTTAGTTAGCTTAATTTGCTTGGTAGATTCAATAGAACCGAATTACATTTACTTGAAAAAAAAAAAAAAGAAGTAATTTTGTATCTGAGGAGCCCAGGGGCGGCAATCTGGAAACATTCGGAAGTGGTGCGATTGTACGTGTAGAAACACACCGACAGGCGAAATAGCTCTCGTCGCTGGCGACAAAGGTTTCTCAGCCACGGCCGCTCCATACCATCCTTTTCCGCGACGGGCCGTGTCTCAAATTTTCTGTTCCAGTTTTCATATAGCTGCAATACCTCAGACAATGAAGCGAAGATCCTCTGAGTTTTAGTGTTTATAATACAGTTTTAGGAACAATGTGATGCATATACAAGTTTCTGAAACCTTACAATACAATGCAACGAGATCCAATAGAATTCCTCATTGTTTTTTTGTTTTTTGTTTATTTGTTTCAGTCATCTAAAAAAGTACGAAAAATGGCACACCGTGTTTAGGCTGTTGGAGTCCAGCGGATGTTCAGCGCTGAGTACGAGTTCCTCGGGCGGGTCCATAAGCGGTTGCCAGCGTTGCGACAAGTTTGAATGTTCGCTCTGGACAAACAGCTGAACAAAGGTGTCTTGCTTGATGACCGGGGGTCCGAGCACGCAGACGAAGTACCTTCACGGTCGAGCGAAGCATGAGCCAAAACTAAGGTCACTCCGGGCTTCTATGCCACTGTGTAACTTCGTTGCAGACTAAGAAAAGCCGGACACGATCCTACCACAAGGCCCTCCACTCTTTCATATTGAGTAGAGGGAATGCTGGAGACAGTGGCGTACCAACTTGTTCTTGAGTAAGGGGGGGGGGGGGAGGGGCGAACCAACCCGCACCCCCCTCCCCAAGGACGGGGGGCGGTGGTCTTGGTATCCCTTGGACGCCGCCGGCTAGTGTTTGCCCTGCCCAGTGGTGGCTGTTTCAGGGGGGGGGGGGGGCAAAACACATGCCTTGCCCCCCCCCCCCCTCTAAGAACTGGGGGGGGGGGGTCCAGTGCCCCCCTTTGCCCCCCCCCCTCCCCGGTTGGTACGCCCACGACCGGAGAGGAGGCAAGTGAAGAGAAGGAAACCCCCAATGATGGTAGCACTGTTACCATAATTGGTGACAGTAACAGCACAGAGCATGCTACAGTAACACTCTAGCATACTCTGTGAAGAATATTAATTTATAAACGTATTTCATGGGCAAAAAGTTAATTGATGTCTACATGCCTCCAACCTATGACGTCTTTCTCGTGCTTTACGTTTCGAGACCCGGTGCATGCTATGCCCAATGAAATGACATCTCGACCTCGCACCCACTGATGTTACACTTTTGAGCGGCCTTGCTCAGCCTATGTTTATTATAAACTGGAACTTCCTTGTTTTTACAGTCGTCGAATACAGAGCTCATTAGTTATTTCTTGATCTCACTGTTCGCCATAGAGCGCCAGGTAGAACGACGTAGAGTCGCTATTATGTAACATCGAAAGAGCATACCGAAACAGAAGTCGCGTAAACAAAAAGAAAAAGGTTACATTCCGTCAAAAAGTCACATCACACAATGAAACATTGTTTTCATCGCTTGCTCATGCATAACCATACACGTAAAAAAAAAAAAAAAAAAGATTGGCACACCTGTTAATAGGGGCAGGGGGCAAACCGAAAAATCTAAAAGAACACTCGAACGCGTCTGAACATGCCCGGGCGTTGCACTCCAAGAGTTAACCTGTAACAGACTATCGAAGCTGTGCAAGGAATTCTTTCGTGCGACTTCTGCTGACGAAAGACAATCGCGGTTGCGCGTGATCTCTGCGTAACGTATCATAGACTCTCGGAAATCTCCGAGTGTACAGACAATTCAGACAATCGCCTTCTGCGCCATTCTGCGCATGCTCTGTAGCTCTCATCTCCGAAATATCAGACGTCCACAGCCCAGTGACTCGACATTTTTCGCCTTAGTGATAAAGGCATGGAAACATGCATAATCAGAGCTGTGTGTGTACAATGTTCCACGCTCGATGCCGTCAGGGTAGCTAAACTCGTCGAGCACAACTTTGTGTCCGAAAGTTACGGAACGCGCTAATTGGACTCTCGCGACGCTGACGTCAAGCCGAGCGAGGTGTCAATCATCCAAGCTCTCTCGGTGCTCAAATTCCAGTAAGAATGTAAAACACAAAGTCGTAGCGATCTCCATCGAAGCGCGTGCGAGCAACACCGTGGTGCCAGCCGATTGAGCGGCTGCACTGATGACGTCTCGCCCGAGTGTCCCTACATCCCTACGCCGCGTTAGAGTCAATGATGCGTAGATTGTACCTAGGCGGCCGGTAAATACTCTGAACTTTCTCGTCGCAAGATCGTCGTTTGCGGAAGTTATTGGTGACGACAAAGTGACGTTTCACAACTTTGGGAAGGAGTTATTTGAGGCCAAAATCTTCGCTTCGGAATCGAGGCGAAGATTGAACTTTGTGATGTTGTGGAGCCGTGCGCGGTGTACGCGGGCGGCTTTATAGAGCTCATCTTCCGCCACTGTCAACAACGCCACCGGGGTCACCCACAGGCGGTTTGTGTAGAGACGTCGGTAATGTCTGAGAGATGAGGAAAAACGGCGGATAACAAAAAAAAAAAAAAAAGAAAAAAAAAAAAGCCGAAGAAAGGGAAATAAAAAAAAATTAAAGTCGTTTACAAATCTTTGTAATGCGAAATTAGAGCTCAACTCTTGAGGAGGAATAAGGGAGGGTACGGAGAGGAGGGTATGCTCCTCCTCATCCCCTCTTCCTCTCCTTCCCTCCTCCTCCCATTCAGTTTCTCCGCTAAATTTAGCAGGGAAAAGGACATCACATGACAATCTAGCGGAGAAGCGAATTCGCGTTGAAGTCACGTAGCTGGGAATTGAATTGGTGTTGAGGTCATGTGACGTCAATTTCGCGCTAAATTTAGCGGGCCGGTTACGCCGACGGCGACGCCCACGCCGCGAAACCCGGAAACGGGCGCCGAAGAGCTGCGCTCTAAAGAAATAATTAAGGTACGAACAACACACACACACACAAACACACACACACACACACACACGCACGCACGCACGCACACACACACACGCACGCACGCACACGCACGCACACGCACGCACGCACGCACGCACGCACGCACACACACACACGCACGCACGCACGCACACGCACGCACGCACACGCACGCACGCACGCACGCACGCACAAACAAACAAACAAACAAACAAATAGGAGTCTCAAGAAGGGCCGTAGAAATTGTTCGGGAGAGAGAGTGAGAGACAGGAGGTGATGGTGGTGAAGAAACGGGGATGTTCCTTTCCCCTAATATTCTATTATAATTCTCTGAAATGCTATGGTGGTTCGGGGCTGGGGGCGATACCCCCCCCCCCCCCCCCCCCTTATGCCCCTTGCCCCCTCTTTCGACGCAGCTGGGGGAGGGGGGCTAAATCCCCCTCCCTATCCTCCTGTTTCGACGACCCTGCTTAGAGGTGTTCCAATGAGCAATGACGAGGAACAGCACAGCCTGCAATTTTCGAAATAACGGTTCAAGAGATTCTGGAATTAAAACGACTCGCGTTCCATGAGCTCAAGGGTGGCCATGACAGACTTTCAAACGAAAGACTCCTGCCAGGGCACGTATATAGTGTGCGGGCGCGTTCAGTGACATCATTTTATAGTTGATACCTTTGACGATGGAGTCAGGATTATCAGTTGTGAACGACAAATTTGATGGTGCGTGTTCAAATCGACGATGTCAAGTTTAGTGTCCTTGCGTTCTCGAAGCATCACCGCCATCACCATCATATTGACAACCTGACATTACGTTTATTTCCTTATTTCCGTCGATAAACATACTTAATTCCAAACTGACTGATCTTCGAATGTCTACCATAAAATGATTTTATCCCGCCGATGAAGGGACAACTGCCCGGAGGCGAAGTTCACCCGAAAATAGACAACGGTAGTCGGCTGGTCGTGACCTAGCCACGTCGGGCTACACTTTGGCCAGATTCGAAAGGCCGAGATAAATCAAAAGAACGGCAGGGACGCTTTTTAGTAAATTCTGCTTTATCTGCGGAGATAAGAACGATACCAGACTATCCACTTCGACGGTGTTGATCTTAAAATGCAATTCCCAAGCATCCATCGTGCTTTTTAGAGACCATCAAACATGACGGTCGCAGCTGATAATCTCTGTTGTGACGTCACACGTATGAGCCACGGTCGTCTCCGCGCGCTCTCTAGTGCTGCTCTTGTTCGGTGCCTAGGGAGGCGTAGGGATTTTTCGTCCCCTCAACGAAAAACGTCACTAAGACAGACGGATTGGCGGGTTTTTGAGAAAAGAAAACTTCGCAGCAATCTTTCGGCTCCTCCCCCCACTATGTCATAACACAAAGAATATTTTTGTTGACGAGTTTAGCGACCCAGAAGACCAATCATCAATTCCTTGATCGGTTGAACCAATGAGAAGTTCGTGGGAAAGTTGCACCCTATACTGCCCGTGCAATCTCATGCTGCCTGCATACAGGAACATCGAAAAAAAGAAACAAGAACAAAATTGTACCTGGGGCAACGATATCAGGTGCGCTTACCACAGTTTGCTGTACGTGAGGCAGTGAACAGTACAGTTGCCGCCAGATTTACAGTTGCAGCAATAACCCTGAGAACAGAAACCGTACATTATATAAACTGATCGCAAAGATCGATACAAACAAGTCTATGTTAAATTGAGTTTTAACAGGAGTATGAAAATAGCAATATTTGCAAAACCAAGCTCTACGCGTTTTTTTTTTTTTAATTTTAGTTCTTATTGGATTGTGGAGGCTGATGTTCAAAGCACAGTACATTTTTAACCTATCAGTCTTGTGGATTCTCATAACGCGGTATTTAATTCAAAATTATTGTCGAAAAACGGGTCACACGGATTACGACGATTCAGGATTATTATTCCTAGACAGCACTTCAGAAAATATTAAAACGGGGGGGGGGGGGGGGGGGGGGGCACTAAAGCATTGCAGGTAATACTGGCTCACCCTCGGAGGACGCATAGATTTGTCAGCTTCTGAGCAGAAGCTGAGGTTGCAGGATTTTTCTGGGAGGTGTGTTTCAGTCACCTTGCCGTTGACGGTCTGACAAGAAAAAAAGAAATGGCATTAAACGAATCCGAAAGCAAGCCTAACCTAGGCTCAGCCAACAAAAATCATAGTTCACACTTTCTCTCAAACCGTTATATTTTTGTTCCAGTGTCAAGCAAAGCTGTGAAATGTCTCCCAAATCTACCACGCGCCCACCAGCGTGTCCGCGGACGAGTAAAAACGAGGCAAGGACGGGTGTTAGAAGGAGTTAGAAGAAAGCTGTTTTGCATCAAACTCGGTTAACATAAACCTGGTCTCACAATCTTGCATTCGAGTCCGTCAATCCACAAAAAGCTCTCCCATCGATATGACCACGAACACTGTCATGACTAGGGTAGCTGAAATGCGCCTCCGGCTGGTGTGTCTGGCGGTCTATAGACCGCCCATCCATCGAAAGTGGTCCCCAAGTGGCAAGAAATGACGTGACAGGAGCCAGCGTGCCGTACTGTCGCATGTCGCGATTTTGGCGGTTGGTCGTAAAAATGCTGGCGGAAAAAAGAAAGTGGACCCGTGGGTCGCTGTCGACGCGGCGTCCCTTCTCCTCTCTGCATTGGTTATCATCGACTGTACCGCTAGAGAGGGACCTTTAGCAAAGCAGGCGTTTGCCACAATTAATTCCACTGCTGCACATTCACCACGATCGCGACAGGCATCAGCATGTCACTCCTACGACGTCATCAGGCGGAAGACGAGGGACCACTTTTCAGGACGCCGCGGTATGAACTCACCAGTCGGAGACGCATTCCAACCGCCACAGTCGAACTAAAGCAGAAGACCTCGCGAGGCTTTTGGTCGTACTGCGATGTAGCGCAGAGGGTAAGCGAGCAGCATGTCATCCTGTCTGAGCCGAAGGACGATGGAGCTGAAGAGCCGAGTGGTCCTCTCCAGCTCTGGTTCGTAGACCTCCGTGACGTGCACGTAACCGCCGCTTTTCTTGCCCTGCAAAAAGTAGAAGGCTCTTAAGGACATCGATGTACACGAGCTTCCTATACTCGGCGTCAACGTTTTAGTGCTACGTTTTGATGGATAACTTATGCGGAGCGCATTTTCGTCTGCTTCTTTTGCGGGGGTTGTGGTGTCGTCAGAACGCCGAGCTCTGGTTTGTTCTCAATGAAGAATACTGGGTAGAGCTCAAGGCAGCTTGCTTTGAGGTCTACCCGCTATCTTTCAATCAGAGCCCATAAAAGCTCAGCGTCTTTCTGACGTCACTGTAACTCCTGCAAATACTGGGTAGAGCTCAAGGCAGCTTGCTTTGAGGTCTACCCGCTATCTTTCAATCAGAGCCCATAAAAGCTCAGCGTCTTTCTGACGTCACTGTAACTCCTGCAAAAGAAGCAGACGACTTGCTCTTGCTTTAGTGCGTCTTCATTGAACTAGGGCGAGTGCGAATGAAGGCCACATGTTCTCGCAGCAGTGTCAGCATTGGGGCAGCTGCGGTAGCCTCGGTAAGGCTGGCGCAGCTTCCACAATGCTGCCATTGCTGCGAGAACGTGTGGCTTTCATTCGCGGCGCAAAGGAGGCGTGCTGAAGCACTGTGGAAGATATATACTAGCTTCGACGACGTAGCACTAAATAGTTGATGTCGAGTATAACTATAGGTAATATGTTTCATCCCAAATCAAAGCGCAGTGGAGGACACTGCGGTCCGAAGGAACCAATCAAGCAGCAACGGCCCTCGTCGTTTCTATGAGTTTCCTATCACCGATCAAACCAGCCACACACCGAAAAAAGCGCAGGATAGCGGCGGGCGCACTCACTGTGCCTGTTTGGTTTGGTCGATGATACCGAACGCACAAAGGCCGTGTTCCAAAATTTACTCGATCTAACTCCAAGGTAAGGGTTTTGTACCCTTGGCGTTCTAAAACCTACCAGCGTCCAGCGTTTTTCAATCTGTGCTGTCACGTGATACGATCCGCCGGAGTAACTCGGATCCATTTGGGTAAGATTTGGAACACAGCCAAAGACAGACTAAAAGCGCCATAGGACGCGGTGCATTTTCTGCGGTTGATTAGATTTTCCGGTGAAATCACACGCACAGAAAGACAACGAAAATCATGAGGTGGTGTTTTGGTGCATCGGCTCATAACTTTGCGCGTTTGGCTGCGCTTTGACGAATGTTGAAACAAAGTACAGCCAGTACTTTCAAAAAGTTCCGCAATAAAAAAATAAACGCTCATGACCCGACTAAACGAGCTGTGGCTGGCCAAGCACAAAGGCAGGTGTCAGCCAAGTTGATTGGGGAAGTATTGTTCAGATTGGAATCATTGAGACTATTTCTAAGATTTGACAGGAAATAAGGGCTTTGTCTTCTTGATATGCATTATTATCAAGAAGAAGGCCAACCGGACACCATAGACAACCTCCTTTAGCGTGCTAAAAACGCCAAGTCCGAGCGTCAATAAAGCGCAAAAGAGACGCAGGTTCTGCTCGTCTCTTCTGTAGCCTCATGAGAGATGCTGACGGAGGTTTGTGGTATCTCCAGAAACTCCTCGCCCGAACGCCCAAAACTTCAGCCTTTCATAACGCGTACACTACGTCATCGGGAGACCCACCTGAAGCGCTCAGCCGATATACTTGTCGCTACCACCGAGCTAGTTTCAAGCATTCCATACGGCCCTGATGACATTATTTGTCAGCAAGCGTCCAAGTACGACGGTTTGTGCGCAAATGTGTATGTTACGCATTGTCGACGTCATCCCTTCACCTTCAATCGCAAATTTTTGTCAACATCCATCTTTATTGACACATCTTATTCCTATACTATTACGCGCCGCGTGAAAGTGTGGGCTTTCTGCAGCGCCGCGGCTGCCCTGAGTCGAAATACATGCAGATGCAACGTTTTCGTCAAATCAGATGTCTCGGGAAGGATACGGATGGCTCAAGAAAGTACACAGACTTTGTTTGGTGCGGGAGCAGGCAGACCTACCAGAGCGGTGTTGTTGACAAGGAGCGATATTTGTATCTTCTTCTGGCAGTTGGTGATACTGTTTTGAAACGCCATGGGCTCGTAGGCGTGGCTGTCGCACGACGTGAGCACAGCCTTCATCTTGATGTCGGTGAGTGTCCAGGCCGGGTTCAAGACCGCGGCCAGTGCGACCGCAAGCACGAAGCGAGCCATGGGTTCGAGTTACGGTGGTTATTCCTGTTTACCTTGCCCAGCCATCCGGCAACAGCAGCCTGCCGAGCTGCGGCACTTCCTTCGTCTTCTTTCGCTTCGGCTAGCTGCTATACATAAAGCCCCTTCATGCTTCAAAAGCAGCGCAAGGTGCGTCGATGCACAAGGCACGTGCAACGTGCAGTCCTTGGGAAGATCATGGCGGCACAGCGCAGCCCTGACCTAGATTTCAGACTCAATGTTCTTCCCAGAAGTGGCGCGCGGCACGTGTCTCGAGCATTTCCACAACAATGAATGGCGCCACTTTTCCCAGGATAGAGGGACTTCAGCTATACACGACTGAAAAAGCGCCTCTGTAGTCGGCTCACTCTGATATGTTCAGTAATGTTTATTTTGTTGTTGTTGAAACTCAATTTATTACGAGCATGGCCAGACATACGCAGCTCTATGGGGAGCTAGAGTCGGGGAGAGCTTTCTGTGGCCATGCATAGTTCAAGGCAATAGACGCACAGGTGCTCTAGCACCTTGAGCGCTATGCTAAGCTCTTCACGTGCAATCTTCACTTCTTCCGTAGCCTCCTCTGTAGGGAGTATTCACTGGCGGCCATATCCCTGTGCGCTGCTGCTGAGCGCGTGCTAACGGCGAGCTTCCGCAGTCCTTTTGGAGCGTGCATTTAGCACCATCAAGGCTGCCGGTCTTAGCAGGCTATTATTGTGAGCTCGTTCTGAGCATGCGCTCTAAACATCGCCCTCAAATATGGTGTCCAGTGAATACCTCCTATACTCACAAAGTCTGGCGGTTCGACGACGGAGCCATAGACAGCCCGGTTGCAGATTTGGAGCGCGAGGGTCTGGTAGCACAGAGCATCAGAGGGTCATTTCTCGGGGAACCTGGACGTCAGCGTACAGCTTTTGCAGCGGCGAGTACGCGAAACACACTTTCGGGGGGTCCTCGCGTCTTGCCGCAGCGTCTCAAGGCAGCGGCGAGACGCTGCATTTCGGCGTCTCGCCGCAGCGCGGCGCCAGTCAAGTGTTCTGACGTCCACCGCACGCTCCAATCTCCCTCTTTAGTTTACCACCGTAGCGTTTCATTCGCACGTGCACCCGCTCGTTCCAGTGGTTTCGACAACGTTTTGTACGCGCACTATGCCTGTGTCCCTTGTTACATTTGTTTATAGAAAACAAGACAAAAACGGCGCACACTGAACACCGATAAAAGCTTTGCATAATTTTAGACAAACCCTCGAGGCTGCGGAAGAGAGGAAAGACAACACAACACACAGAGCTTGAGAAACTGTGTGTTGTGTTGTCCCTCGTCTTTTCCCCAGTCTCGGGGTTTGTCAAAAATTACGTTAAACCTTCACCAGCTTGTTTGCGCCCTAACGTTTTGTTCCTTAAAGATTTGAATTCGTACCACTGATCTCTATGACAATTTTCTGGATCGCGCATCCCTGCTTGATCGCTGCAGCGCACAGTGCGGCCACCGGAAGTGCGAAATTGGCCATCTTGGGCCTGTGTAAATCGGCCAGATGAAGCGTTGCAGAGGCTGGGCTGAAAAACACGTTTTCTGCTCGCTCGTCGTCATTCGCCGAAGAAATGCTTTGAAAACCATGTGCACACGGTCGTAGCTGCCTTTAAAAACCCGTGGTACTGCAGGAAAAGAGGTAGAACTCGTGGAACAAGCCTCGCGGTCAGGCAGCTTGATCAAGGGACACGTCTTGTCAACCCAAGGTGTTGCGTCAATGCGCCTTCGCACGCTTAGATATCGGGCAAGAATCGACGCCATGATATCCACTCGGGAATAATTCGCCAGTGCAACATGCGTGAAGATGTATATGCCTATGGAACAGCGTTTTACTTTGCTCGGACGACTGCATTTGTAGCGTGCGGTAATCCCGGACCATAAGCGAGTTTGCTGAAAGTCTACCTCCCGTCCAGCGTTGCTCCACTGCGCTGCTCTACCTGTGTTGCAGTGTGACGTGAGTAGTTCGGATATATTCGAGTAAATATCGAGAATAGCCATGGTTGATTTGATGGTGCGTGATAGCAATCCCTGTTTTTTTTATATATATATCTTATTTACTGAGAGCAACAACTGATCAGTGAAAGTAACTCCGCGAACGACATGTACGCTCGACACGTGCAGCCTCAAAACTTTCCCGAAAGGTTAATACATTAACACGGCGTCGATTCTTGATTGGTATGTAAGTGTGCAAACGCGCGTTGGCGCAGGACTTTGGCGTGCCAAGGCATGTGCTTTGATTACGCCGCCTGACCGCGAGACGGGTTTGACGATCTGTGCCTTTTTTTTCCTGCGGATCTGCTTTCGTAAACATTTGTACGGGTTTTTAAAGCCAGCTATGACCGTTTAGACAGGGTCTTCAAAGACTTCTTCGGTGAATGATGGCGAACAAACAGAAGATGCGACTCTCGGCACACAGCCAGCCGGTCTCTTCAACGCTTTACCTAGCAGGTTCACAGATGCCCAAGATGACCGACTCGGAACTTCCGGTGGTCGCATTCACGGAGCGGGAAAGCGCGACCCGTCTGTTGCGCATATTTCACGACGTTGGCAGTTCTGCTTTCTGGTTTTGCAGTGATGGTTGTAATTGTTATCATAGTTGTTACAAGTATAACCACTAATTTTGTTTTCCCTCATAGTTGCAGTTTTTGTTTTTTGCGCACACCCAGAGAAGGGCAGGGAAAAGAAGAGGAGGTTGAAGCAGTGGAGTTACTTCCATTCCAGACTTCTTGCCGACCAAAGCCACCTACTTTGGGAATTCCCGCAACTGGAAGAGATTCGTC